GCCGTGTTGTTAGCCTATAATGTGACCTGCAGCTTCAGTTGCATCCTCTATCATGGCCTCATGGGATAGTTAAGTGTCCATCGTGTGCAACTTGGTAAACAGGGTATTTTTGCCTACTTTTTTAGGCCTACTGTGGATTCAGACATACCTCTTTTATTTTTTCGCGTACTAGGGAAGTAGCTGTGCAATTTCGGACACAGCTCTAAAATTTGGAGCCGTATAGGCTACTTTAACAAGATTTTTCTATGACATAAATGGTAGAAGTAGTAAGCTAGTATGCAGTTCCAAATTCATCAAGTGAAGTACAAATAGCAGTATGCTAGTATACTATTCCATATGCCGCTTCAGTTAGTTAGGATAAGCTAGTACCAGGAAGGTGTCTCCCTCTAGTGGCGGAGAAATGCAATTGTACAAATGCATAAAGCAGCCTACTAGATAACTAGAGCTAGGGGAAGGGATAGGAAAGGGATAGGGATTTGAAGGGATAGGAAAGGCAGAAAATAATCATATCAACATTGTAAACCTCAAAAATATTTACAGAAGTTTTTGTGTGGCTTTTAATTTAAATGGGATACTTAGTGTAAATGTATGTTTCAATTTATTCAGTATGATTGTAAAACAGTAGGCCTAATTGATAAAGCCCATTTAAGTAAAGCTTCAGTATACCGAGCTGATTTGTATCTTTTTATATAAGTAGCTTCATTGTAGCCTATAGCTGCTTTAAATTATGAATATTTCAATAGTTTTCCAAACATTGATGACAAAACTGGTGATGACAGTCTATTTTGATGACCGAATTTGTGTTGCTTTACATTGTGTATGTCTGGATGTGAAAGTGTTAAGTTGATAATCGTATTTCTCATATAATCGTATCCCCCCACCCCTTTTCTGCAGTTGTTTTTTGCTCATACATGGGTTAATTTACACAATTTTATTTTAACACTTTAACATTTGTGAGTGTGATGATGGATATGCTATAGCTGTTCTTAATGTAAGTTGTTGAAAAACATATAACCACTTCTATTTTTAATAATGAAAATAAAATTACATTTAAAATGACATTAATGTACAATTATATACAATTATTTCAATTAAAATGTATTTGGAATAAAACTTAATATTTCAGTAATGCATACATTAATCATAATATGTATGTTCAATAACATTACAACAAGCTGTGAATTAAGACATTGGCAGATTTAAAAAAAAAAAAAAAAAACCCAACAACTTCTTGAATAGTAAAAACCACACAATACTTAGTTATGTTGTCCTTAATTTAGATTTTAGACAATTAAAAGGAAATTGTGAAATATTCCTTATTTAACATCCCAAATGTATGTTCACATAAATGAATTAAAATGTAAATAATAGTTTAAGAATTAAGAAAGAATTGTTTTAATGATTTTTTTAATGAGTGATGAACAGGAGATGACTAATAGTAATGCTGGGAATGTGTGTGTAATCCTGCTGCGTTGCTGAAGATGTTTTAGCATATATCCTATTATCCACATGAATGATCCTGGTGTGTGATTTGGACGGAACTCCAGGATCAGATAAAGGACGACTGAAGCTTGTTTGCTTTGCATGCGACTTTCACACCATCCAGAGGAACTCAACTAGATAATTGTCCACAAAGCCCACAGAGTCACTGGCTCTCTTTCCCTGACACAGGCATGCTAAGACATCACTAACCATCACTCGCAAAACAACCAGTCAGGCGGAACGACTGCTCATCTCTCGGCAGTAAATTTGTCTTAAATTTGGCAGTAAAATCAAAACTTGGGAATTGCATTTGATTTATTGCACTTTTTAAAATGTAAAATGTTTATTATAGCTCTTCAAAAGTTCTGTTTACTTATGTAACTATAGGCTAAACCTGATATAGGCAATGAAGAGTCTTTTTCAAAGTATATAACAATGCTTGAAACTGGGTTTGGTTTCTGGGAATTATATGAACGACATCATCTACACCCCTTTATGGGGCATCGTCACTTATAAATGATGCAAAAAATGCATTTAAAATACAATAATAATGATCTCCACCAATTCAACCAAAACAATTGACATTTTATCATATGAGATTCCATTCAGCCAATAAAATTTAAATCTAAAGGTACTTGACATTAGCACATGTTAGGTCATGAAAATATGTAATTTTCTTCATAAATATTTCTTTATTTAACTGATAAGTACCCTGCTTAATACTTGTTTATCTGTATGTATCACTGCCACTGTAGATGTGTATTTTGTTTTGTTCTTGGTGTTGAAAATTAAAAAAAAGAAAAGTTAGGTCACATGATGTCAAGGCTCCATTGTGAGTTTATTTTAGACTGAAATACATACGTTTTAAAATATCATTATACATAAAAATGTGTTTTCTAAAGTTTTTAGTTATTTTTAATGCATATTTTGTAAAATCAATAACTCAAAGATCAAATGCATAAATGACAAATTCCTTTTAGGGGATACTATCTAGCTGCACTATTGTTCAGTACTGGCCTGAGGTATAATGGTATTTTGGGTTGATGTTAATAAGATTTATAGAAGACAGAGAGGAAACGCTGTACCTTTAAAGTATTGATAATAGAGACGGCAGTGCATCAGAAAGTAAGGTTGTATTATAAGAAAGGAAGAAGGAGAAGATCAAGGAGAATGGATGCAGCAAGGGTGATAGCAGTGATGAAAAATATAAGCCATAGATTGTGGAAGTCAGGCATAGTAACATTATCCTATGACAGTTTGCAAGATGTGATCCAGACTACAACCAGAGGTCAGGAAAGAGGCCACTGCCTATTGGTCTCACACTGACAAACAAATGATCCAAAAATGATGACTAAACAGAATCGAGTTACGCTTGGGAAGTGTGGGGTACACCGAAAAAGAAGTGTCATGTTGATTTTCACTTGTTCTCATTGATTTGGAATTCCAAGTATAAAACGTTGTTAAAGAATTTGTTTATGTTTTTTGAAACATCAAGTCATGGTTTTACTACTTTTCTGGCAGCGAAGTTGCATCTGAATTTGTGTCGTCAAGTTTTTGACATTTTCAAATGTAAGTTCCAAATGAAATAAAGCAGCTCACAGAATAAATTAAAATGGAATGTTAATAAATCTTTTTAATGTTTTTTTTTTTTTGAAAATCTAAGACTTTTTCACTACTTTTCAGTAGTAAAAATGCATTTAAATGTGTTTCAGGCAAGAATAATTTACCCTATAGTACAAAGTTAGTGATAAATGATAAATGACAGCACTCTAAAAAACTAATTATGGAAAATAATTTTATCCTTAAATGTATTTAAAATATAAAGTCATTTATTTTTAGCTGTGATTTCAGATTTAGTCTCACAATGGGTTAACTTGGACATTTATTAACATTTATTAACTGTGAAGTGTGAGTTAATTTTAGTGTTAAGAATAAACCATTGCACCATGTTCTTTCAGTGAAGCATTTGTTGAGTCATTGAGAGATGAGCGTGATTTAATTTGTTGGACAGCTGTCTGATGTGTGTTTGAATGCATGTATATGTGTGCATTTGTGCGTGTCTGTGTCCCCTTCAGCCTATTTTGTACCAGACATAAGCATTATATTCCTTATGTCTGACATCCATTACACATGATTGCAAGTGATAAGGCCTTGAAGTCGCATTGAAGGATGATTAAGCTTTTTACTTGTTTTAACTCGTCTTAGGCCGGAGCCGTGTGAGTTTGTATTCCCTGGAATGTTACAATCATGCATTCTCACACCACCTTGAGGTACATGTGTACAATGACAACACACACACACACACACACACACACACACTCACACACGCACCCACACATACAGTACCCTAATAAATCCTGCGGTAAATAAATCCTGCGGAAATTGAATGTGACTTTTGATTGCTCGGAGCAAATAGTGCATGTTACTGCATGCACCTGTTACAGGGACAGTCCACATAAAAAAGAAGAAGAAAAAAAGGGCACAATTTTACATTTTCTAAAATGTGTCAAAAGTATGTTTTTTTTTTTTTGGGGGGGGGGACTATACAATGAATATCAATGTTGTAAAAAAAAATATATATATATTTTGTATTCTGCGGGTTCATGATTGAAATGACATTTTTGGGCATTTAAGCTTACCCACATTAAAAAAACAAAAAACAACTGTTCCCATTAAGTTATGGAAAATTATTATTTTTATTTTATCATCTTGCAAGTATAGTGGGAACGTAACTTCTGAATGTTCTTCAAAGCATCTGAACAAAAAACATTAACTAAAATGTTAATGTCTGACTAACTAAAATGTTTCAGAAAAATGTTTCATGAATAATCTATAAGTATAATTTTTGTGATAACGTTTTAATAATGTTATTAAAGACCAAATAACTCTGAATGTACGTTCTATTAATGTTACAGGAAGAACATTTGTTCATAACTTTGAACAAGAACCTTGCCAGAATGTTACCCAAAGTTACTGAGAATGTCTCCTATTAGCTGGTTGAGTGAGTGCATGTGAGATTTAGTTTCAGTTCCAAAACTCGGCAAAAGCTTTTCCTTCTTTAATTTTCTCACCTCCTAGTTTTCCAAACCAACTGAACATTCAACAGTCTTCTCATTTCTTTATCTCTTATCGAGCATTAAGTGACAAGTGATGCTGAGTGATTTTGGCAGGCAAAAGCCCATAAAAACAACCGCAGGAAGTGTTTTGTCTCTGGTCTGAAGAGGACGAGCCGCAGCCAGAGAAGCAGAAGAAGAGGAGATAGGCAGACAGGTGTGTCAAGACTGGAATGTTCATTTCGGTCACACCTGGGATAAAACACGCCTATTGAACCTGGTCTTTCCCTTTTATTGGCTGATTTGATCATGACTGACAGCGCAACCAACAAATAAACACTCTTTTGGTTGCTGAAGGGGTTTGACCTATGGTCCCCAGTTGTGAACCAATAGCATGTCATGGTTGACTTGGGGTGGAGAGGAAATAAAACTCATCTGTGGGGTGTGTCCACAGTGGCATACGTACAAACTGTGAGGCTGTACAACACCGTGCAGATCTCCTGCCTCAAAACTACTGTTTGACGAAGACGGACTTAGACTTATCCTGGTGGAAAGCTGCCGAGAGCCCTGGAAAAATCACAGCTGTCCTCCCTAAACTGGTAATCTCAGTTGCAGCTACCTATATGAGGAGACATGAAGACTCATTTGCTTTTCTTTTGGCTGTAAGAAAAATGCTGGACAAAGCAGGTGGGAACTTGTGCCGGAGATTTGCATGGAAACAGTTGGAGATCTCAGTATGTTCAAATGGTCGCTCACATCTCCTTATCACTTTTCCAGCCCAGCTAAAGATGGTGAATCTGTTGGACGGAGAACTGATAAGGGCATGTGGCTGACACATACAGCTTTGTGTCTGCTGGGCGCTCAGGTCAGCGTGTCTTGTTGAATTATGCATGTCAATGACTGAATAACCAATATTTACAAATTATTAACTTTTTTTTGTTTCGTTCGTTTACTAAACTAAAACTCAAATGTTTATGTATGTATGTCTCAGTTTAAACTCGGGCTGCACATGAGTTGATGTTGTATTTTTAGTTTCTTTTTTATTCAGCTTTTCCAAACATTTCTATAATAATAAGCAGTAGATTTAGATTCATTGACTTTGCAAATTGGTAGAGTATGTGTTACTTTTCTTAATACAGACATCATTATATTTTGATGACGACAATGCCCACGGCTTAATGAAAACAATACCAAAAGATAAACTCTGTTTGTGATGGGAAAATAATTTAAACATTCCAATTTTATTCCAAATGTAACTCATGAAATTCAACCAACTTTACTGTATAAAATACTCTTTACCTTTAATGTACTATTTATTTAATGTCTTTTATTCATCATTCAAGAATAGTCTTTGTGAAAATGTTAACCTACATTCATGTTGTGCATAGAATTTTATTGTGATAGATGGTATAAATTACACAAGCATGGCAACGAAAGTTGAATATGAAAGGTATATCTCACATTATTTCATGCTTAAAATATACACTTAATATAGCAGTTTATCTTACTGCATAGGCATCACCAACATGATAACTTTCCTGCAATCTGACTCAAACAGGCTCTTCGTTCTTTATATAAAGTAAGCAGATTAAATTGACTGAAAATGCGGAAAGTAAAATTTAGGTAGGAAAAGGCGAGTTTTTTTTTTTTTTTTTTTAAATGAAGAGAGTGATTTTCATTGGGCAAGGTGTTGTCTCAAGCCAGGCCGACCATGGAAGCACTGAGATCCCACAGTCTGCGGGCTGCAGCATCATCTCTACCCTGAGGAGCCGCCTCTTTGGGTGCACAATCACTGCAAAATGACCAAAAGAGAGCAATGAACAAGCATGAAATGATCATTATTTAACGACAATGCTCAGACAACAATGTGTTTAAAGCTTTAAAACTGTATGGAAAAAAGTTTGTTGTTTTGATGTTTTTAAAATGATGAAGACATCCACTGTAAAACTTCAAAGCTTGTTTGTTGTATCAAGTTTGTGAAATTTCTATAATCGCCTGTCTATGATATATTGGCAGAGGTGACGCACATGCAACCAACAACTTTAGATGTTGTTTACACCTCCATGCATCCCTTGATGAGCATAATCATACTAAATATCAGTTAACACATGTGACAGAAAAAGCTACTGACCTGTAGTAAAGGCCACTGGTATTCTGCAGACTCTCATCCACCGCACAATAGATGGTGGTCTGTGAACCCTGCCAAGGTGTTTTGACAAAGAAATAAAAAGGCAAAAACATAAGCCTCTTCCACAGAGGCAGAGAGGGTAAAAAGTGCCGGCCGAGTTCAGTATGGATCACCCCAGGATGCAGAGAGTAAGTTGTTACTCCTGTGCCTGAATGACAAGCAGGGAAAGTGTTTTAAAGCAGCATGATTGAGAGTGTGATACTGTGTATATAAGAACGAGAAAATTTTCTTTATAGCTTACCTTTCAACCTGACTGCTAGTTCACGGGTAAACAGAACATTGGCCAGCTTGCTCTGTTTATAACTCTTGGTTGGATTATAGTCTTTCTCCAGGTTTATATCATCAAAATGAATCTTGCCTATCCAACAGAAAATAATTGAAATTGAATGAGTTACATACCATACAATTTAATGTGTCAAAGAAACACTTTAAATGTATTTACATTGTAATACATTCAAATAAAATATGTTACATTTAAAAATTAAATTGTCATATTTGTCACAACAAATCTTGTCAGGGATTTCAAGGAGTTCAATTACTACTTACAATAACTTAAAGAATTATGATAAAATGATAACGATAAAAACGTGCAAGCTTTTTTTTTAGGCATAATTCAGCTAAGCATATAAAAACATAGATGGGATTCCACACCTGTCTCATGGGCCAAGCTAGAAACATTGACAATACGGCTGGGTGTTGATTTCTTCAACAAGTCCAGAAGTAAGTTGGTAAGCAGGAAATGGCCCAGATGGTTCACCCCAAACTGCATCTCAAAGCCATCTTCTGTCTGCCACCGTGGACACATCATTATCCCTGTTGGCAGAAAAAAAGAAATCAAATTAAAATTAAATAAATGAATAAGTAATTACAAACAACACAGGTTTAATTTGCTGATAGAACAAACCTTGTAATCTGTTGGCAAAAAAAATAAAACACTTTGTTACTATATCAACCATGTGCTTATGCATTATAATCTGTCTGAAATTCCTTACCAGCGTTATTAATGAGAATATCCAATCTCTCCTCATTCTGCTGTACATCTTTGGCCAGAACTCGGACAGACTGCAAGGAGGCCAGATCCAGCATCTTCACAGCCACGTTGCCATTTCCGCTCCTCTTCCTGATCTCATCTGCTGCTTTGTTGGCTCTGTCCATGTCTCTGCATGCCAGAATAACCCTTGCACCTGAACAATGGAGGTTCATAAACAGTAATTGTTGTGACAATGTGACATGTTTTTAACATGACTGTGGTATGAAGCAGGTCGCGATTGCTAATGAGAGACATCAAATATCAATCAAATGAATAAGATAGAGCCTCCGCTCCAACAATCATCTAACCAGCCTGTTTGTGAAATTCAGGGACAGAGTTGCATCTGTTATGAGGGTCATTGATGTGATGCTCATTTTGTGTCTGGATTCAAAAAGTTGTTCAAAAATACATTAAACATTCAATTCAGCCCAACAAATTGAACTGAATTCATCTCTTCTATGATAAACATGCAATCAATTTAATTTTTGTGAAGCTTAAAAGTAAAAAAAAAATGTTAAGGTGGTGTAACTGTCCAGACTCCAGAGATTGTAAAAGTAAAAATAAACTATTTTGTTTTAAACTATAATATTTGTTTAAACGTCTGTCCTCTAAATCAGGGTCAGTTTTTTGCCAAGTCACTAAAAACACAAAACAGAGTGGACCTCTTTAGACTCTCATTACCAGGGCTTGACATTAACTTTTTTTGCTCACCAGCCACTGTGGCTGGTGAGTTAGTGGTTTTTCAGAGTTACTAGCCACTCGATACCATAGGGGAAAAACTGCCATGTATATTAGGCTATATTAGGCTGCTGTCACTTTATAGCCAATACTTGTCTTTATGTCCACACACTTTGGTAGTGAGCACAAAATCTGCAGGAATGAGTAAAATTATACTCAATACGTGCAATCCCTCTCCGAAATTCAAGCCCTGTAACACAACAATATTCATCCATAGCAAAACAAAATGAAAAGGGTTTGTGTTTCAACTCACTGTCAGAGAGATTATAGAGCTAGAACATGTAGCTGGTATTGTGCATCTTGCAGAAGATTTTCAGACATTTTAGTGATATGTATCGAAAAATCAATACTTTTGATCAACACTTCATTGCACTTAGTTTATTTCAGATGCCTTTTTAAAGCTACAATATGTAACTTTTTCGCCTCAAGGGGTCGCTAACCTCTTACAATAACAAAGGTGTAGACTGATGACACAGTAAATGAGCGTGGAATCATGGAACTTGTCATCATGCTGATGGATCTAACATTAATAATGTTTAAGGGGAAATAATGTTTATGAGTGAATACATTCATGCTTTTTAACATGACTGTGTTATGAAGCAGGTCGCGATTGCTAATGAGAGACATTAAATATCAGAGTCACACATGAGTCCCGTGGATATAAAGGAATGAGGACATTTCCTTCTACCAAACAACCCACAAGTGCTGAATTGCTACTCAAACTGGTCAGTTTATTTGACAAACTGTTTCACTTGGTCTAGAGTTACACTATCATACTAAACTGCATTTGAGTGTGTTGAAAGTTATAATGTTAATCTATGTGTTAGTTTGTTGGCTGTATGAGACCAGCAGTAAGCTAGATCAAAATTGCACGTCACGCCATTGGGCCCCTTACTGATATAATATCAAAAAACAGACATGCAACATAGACCTATCATGATAGCAGTTTAACTAATACTTTAAAATAACTTCGGAACTCCATTAAAATGATCTGACCTCTATTGGCCATGTCCACCGCAGTCTCTTTACCGATCCCAGTGTTGGCTCCCGTAATCAGAACAGTTTTGCCATTCAAGGACGCTCTGCTGCGGCAGACTCCACCACCCAGCCATCTCCGCAGGGCAAAGAGTCCGACTCCTGCTGGTACAGCAACATCATTACCTCACCTCTACCCTTTTCACTCTCTTTTTTGTTTAGCAAAAGTGCTGGGTTTTTTTTTAACAAAAATACATATATCACAAATAAACGCTTAAGAAAACAGGATAAGAAACGCAAGGTAGAGCAAGGCAATAAATCAGTTTCAAGCAAGATACAGTACACAGAGATTCTGTAAAAACAATTTACAAAAAAATAAAGCAACTGAAATTAAACACAATAAATGGATACATATAAATAAATAACATGTAACTTTAAAAAATCATCTATAGGAAATCAGGAGGTAACCTTATGATGAAACCATAATTGGTTTAATTAACAGAGCAGTTTTAGCAGCTTTCTTGTTAATTTACGAATAAAGGGAATCATAGAATAACTTTGAATCAACACAGTATGGAGACCTCACTTAACCTTCTCTCAAATCGTGGCTACTATTGATAAGCCCAGGCAAAGGTTATCCGATAAGTTACACATGCAAGATGCTCATAGAGATATCAATAAGATGATATATATAAAATAAAATATATCTTAGATGTATCATTATTTCTCAATATATTAAATATAACAGTGTTCCCACATCTTTCAATCAATAAAATCCCATGCAAAATTCACACTAATTCTGTGTTTTTGCTGGTAATAAAATTAAGCCATAAAACACTAATTTTATCATAAACTTTTTGTCAAATAATGTGCTGCACAATGAGCTTTACTGTTAAAATTAAAACATGGATTATTCGTTAAATTCAGTTTTGTTTAAAAAATTCAGAATTTATTCGTATTAGTGTTAATGTATTATTACATCTGGACATTTCCTATTTCTACTGTACAACAGTAATATATTTCTGTCAAGTTAAACCGAACTTTTAACGTTTATGGGGGGCGGGCCGCTGCCCTGACTTTTTTTTTTTTTTTTTTTTTTTTTTTTTTTTTTACAAAAAACACAGTTCGTGATTGCAGGAATAAAAAAAATACTATTTGACATTGCACGCACTAAAAGCACATTCTGCGCTGAGTAACTGCAAAATGATACACACTTTTATGAAACCCATTTATGAAATCCATTTCCACGATTGTAAATCTCAGTTTTAAAAGTGCCCCATATTGTTTTGGTTGCTGTGTTGTTCTGGGAAGCCATTATTGTATCAAATAAGTAAGAAACATGCAAACTATGGTTTAACTTTTGCCTACCTGTAAGCAGGACAGCTGAGGCACCTGTAGGATGTTCTTCCACAAACGCCTTCGCTGCCTTTGTGTATTCCTGCATTATAACACCTGGTAGATTCACCTTCAACTACTCGAGCTCATTCAGTATCGAAAGTGTATGCAGACAGACAGAGAGGTCAGTCACCGCCCACATAAGCCGTTTCTCAATATGCGTTCTTGTACACAAGGTTCTTGAGAAACGTCACCAGTCACTGCCAAGTACTGTCAGAGAATGTACTGTTCCAATTCAAAGTTCACATGTAGCCAAGTCATAAAGCCAAGTCCAGTTCAAATCCCCGGATTTGTTCTTGATCCGCCCCGTTTACCGAGGATGCAGCTTGTGCCAGAGCCCTTGTGCGGACTTGAGATAGCCAAGTATCCCAGAATGCATCTCGCGTCAACCACCAGCAAGCATCAACCAGCAAATGGGAGAGGAGAAAATCCGTGAAATATCAAAATACTACTGTTATTGTGTCATGAAATGTAATTTTAAGAAAGTTTCAGGCGAGAATGTGGTTGTTAAAATCTCAAATCTGTGGTTTATTTATAAAGATAGCACCTATTTCAAATATGTTTATGACGTTTTCGGAGCTCTGACATGCAAGCCTTCACCGGGAGTGTGATAACGTTATGGTAGTAATGACCTAAATCGTGTTAATTAAATTAAATGAGTATCTTTTAAAAAATGAAATAACAATTCATATATTTTAAATTACTTTGGGCCATTCCCTAATAATGATTTGATAGACAAAACTTCAATTTCCATTTCTCTTAATACTTGAAATAATTTAAATCTTTCTCTCGCATAAGCCTCACACTTTAATAATACATGTTCTACTGTTTCCATTTGTCACAATATCCAGACTGGTGTTTCCCAATCCTGGCCATACTTTGATTTAATAAACAATGGCCAATACGCATTCTTGAAATTATAACATCCCTCCTCCTATTACCAAAATTTCTTCTTACTAAACCAACTGTTCCTTGAATTTTGTATAAATGCCGACCCATTTTTCACTTTGCGCACTTGGCATTGAAACGGCTATTCAGAGTAAACACAGTGGACTCACGTGCTGCAGCCTCAAATTTCAAAATAAGAGTCAGTTGGTTGTAAAATGCCTCTTTGGCATACACAGGAACAACAATCATCAATAGTGTCATAATACATTTGAAATAATTATTAGTGCTGGCTTACAGTCTGATTTGGGGTGCCCCTGCCTTATCAGATAGACTGGTGCAGAGTCAACTTAATCAATGTAAATATTTCCCCTTTTCCCCATACAGGATACATTTGCCTTTTAACATACCTCATTTAAAAAAAAAAAAAAACTCATTAGAAGTAAATAATATTTGCAGGTCCTTGGCATAAAATGTTTGGAAACCCCTGCTTTATTAAATACTGAGAAATGTGTCAAGACAACATTGTTGCACAGGGATTTGTTCAGTGCCACTTACATTTTCTTTATAAGGTCATTGTAATTGTTAGAATAGTGTTTGGGTGTGTATTTGACACTTTCTATTTAGACAAGGACTTGAAACATAGAGGAGCACGTATATTTGTGTAACCTTGTGCTACTGCTCCAGCCTATTTTTTTTTCTTCTGTGTTGAAAAAAATATATATATTTCAGAAGTCACAGTGAAAAAGTGAAAAACAAAATGTGAATATAAATGTTTATTTGAAGTCTTCTACTTTGTAAAGTAGGATAATTTATGTTCAAAGATAAGCCTGGGGAAAAAAGATAAGTTTGGATTTTGCTAAATTGCTTATTTTATAGCCTATTATGTAATTCCTACCCCACTTCTTGAGTCTAGACTCCATAGAGCTATCAGAGCATGAAAACTTTTAACAATAGTGTACACCAGCTAATTTATATACCGGGAACAGCTTTGCTTTGTCCAAGTAATAGGATATTATAAAACCATGAGGTAATAAGAACGATACTATTGCCTTCTTTACTGCCATCTACTGGTAACTGTATATAGAACAGGCCAGTCAGGAACTTAGAATTGAAAGCAAGAAAATAAAAATTAAATCTGAAATTATCTAAATAAATGAAATAATCGCACCTTTATTTATTTTGAAAAATAAAACGCCAAATAACCCGGAAGTATCTCGTCCTCCTGCCACGTCAGTGGTGTCGCTTCAAGCTGTCAAGTAGCAGAGTGAGTTCAGCAAACCAGCTATAACTCAATGGAGGAGGCTTTCTGTGGATTGTAAAGAAGAATAATTATTTAAGTTTTCTTTCACCATGTTACACCCTTGCCTTTTAATTTTGGCTGTGTACATAGCCTTTATAAATGCCACCGAATTAACGTTTGAATTGCCCGATAACGAGAGACAATGCTTTTACGAAGACCTAGAGCAAGGAGTCAAGTTTGATATAGACTTTCAGGTAATTGACTGTTTTTGTGTTTTGCAATGTTTATTGGTTATTTATGTTTTGCTAGTCCACGTTTGTTGATTATTTACCTTTTCTTTTGAGCACAATTACCGTGATTTTGTTGCTTCATATGTTATTATTCAACACTGTTAAACATTGTTAAACAACTGAAGATAGCCTACGAAGTATTCCATATTCCCAAATTCCAGTATTAATTCTTTCCTTTTCATACAGGTAATTGCTGGAGGAAACTATGATGTTGACTGTTTTGTGACAGATCCAGTGAATAACATGCTGTATCAGGAACGAAAAAAGCAATATGACAGCTTTTCCCACACAACAACCATGAAGGGAGTGTACAAGGTCTGCTTTAGCAACGAGTTCTCGACCTTCTCTCACAAAACTGTATACCTGGACTTCCGAACTGGAGAGGAACCCAGATTATTGCCTGACATGAACGGAGCAACAGCTCTCACACAGGTGAGAAACACAAATGCCATGCATTCACATACAGCATGCACTCTGAATATATGCATTTGATATGAACCTCTGAATAAATCATGCAGATGGAGTCGGCCTGCTTGTCTATCCATGAGATCCTGAAAGTGGTTTCAGACTCTCAGACCTGGTATCGCCTTCGAGAGGCTCAGGACCGTCTCAGGGCTGAAGATCTGAATGAGCGTGTGCACATTTGGTCCATTGGGGAGGCCATCATCCTGTTTGTGGTCTGTATTGGCCAGGTGCTTATGCTTAAAAGTTTCTTTAATGACAAGAAAGCCAGTGTTGCCACCAGCACATAGACCTAGATCTCTAGTGTGCTGTCTTCTCTCCTAGAAGATAATCTGCTGATTTATTAGTCTGATTCCCTTAAAACAAGAAGTCTTGACTGTTGCCTACATCTAATAAAAATAACCCCGATGTCAAACAAAATACCTTAATTACAGAGTCATGTACTAAAAGCTGCACAGAGTCTATTATCTTGTGTTGTATATTTAAATTGGCCTCTATGTGCATTACTCACTGTTGCAGTAATGGAAATTGACCTGCTGCACCTTTATAATGCCACATCTTACTGTTTTTGGTTTGTACCAGTGTTGTTTGTTTTGTTAAAATTGTACTTTATCCACTTGAAGTGTGCCTTTGTCAACTTTAAATGCCTATGTCTTAACATAACTTTATAGAAAACAGAATAGTTTTGGTAGTTTTTGTATGGTAACTATAACGATATGATAATGAATGATTATGTTGTTGAGGTAAACCTCTATTTTTCTATTTAGCGAAGCCCTTCTTTGTTTATCCCACATACAAAAGGGAAAATTCATGCAGGTGATTTATTTATATGTATATAGATATATCTGGCAAACTAGAAAAAAATATATTTTTCCCTTCATCTCTTAAAGGGGTCATGAATTGAGAAATCAATTTTTTTTGAACTATTAAAAAAAAAATCCTGCAGGTTTCAGAACTCAAATTTACTGAAACCCTGCTCCGAAAACGCCTACTTCTACATCATCGTCTCTTTGGCCCTGCCCTCTGGTGCATTACTGAGACGAGAAAAGAGATCCAGTTTCACTGGAATAAAAACAACATTACCTTGCAAAGGACCTAGGAAAGTTGTTATTTATTTTCAACTAGGCTATGTTAATGTTTTTTAATTGTTTGGTATATTCACTGTGGATTCTTTGGTAAATCAGTCGCAATTTCGGCACGGGCTTTGCAAACAGCTTTTTACTATAAGATGTGGCCATGAATCACCCTACAGTAATGCCACAACATGTAAGTAGCCGTGTTAATTCAAATGCCTGATCTGTTATCAGTGATTTCTAATATGATTACGATACAGTCTGAAATTGTTTGTCTCAAAATTGTCTGGATTCTCTCCAAAACTCCCGATTATCAATGATGCTGTCTACATGGAGTAATGAATCTCTTATTAACATTATGTGATGATAAAAGCATTCGTGGGAGTGTAGAAATCGAGTTACAATGACGAGATCACTGCATTCGTGTCTGTCATCGGTTACGATGCTCATCACTGCAACAATTCATCCGGCGGGGTCTAATATTATAATCAATATTTTCATGATTATTTAACCTCGACAGCAGTAATAGTAAAAATCTTCAAAAGAATTCCACATGCATTACTTGTTTCATGTGCAAAAATGCTAGCCAGTCACAGCAGAGGACGTTTACACAGGACGAGTCTCATAGACAAAACACATCCTCGGTTCAGAGCAGAAGGCTATAATCAGGGTATAAAAGGTCCTTTTATTTATTAATTGACCATTTTTGATGTTAAAATCATTCTTCAGAAAACATAAATAATTATAAATTCTGTTCATGACCCCTTTAATGATAAATTCTGTTGAATGTGCAAACTGCATGCACACAATTGCTGGCTTAAGGGCTTTATCATGTCTGTCACATATTTATGACTCATCAACTATTGTGCAATTCAAAAGCTATTTTATTATTTCATATTCCTCAAATATTTGTTACAAACATAGCCTATCTCTTTTTTTCCATTTATCTCAGCCCTGGAAGTTGAATTGATTTGTGATTGCATTGATTTATTATGTCATTATTACTTTAAATGGAGTTGTTTATATTCCTGCCTTATGTAAATTGAAAAATTAAAAGCAAAGTTTGGGATTGATTTTATGATTCGTCTTAATGGCGTGTAATCATGGACATAGCAAGATTTTGATGTCAGAGAAATTAAAAAAAATATTTCTTGGTGTGAGTGTGAATACATAGGCTATTTGGCAAGATCATTTTAACTGCTGATTTAACAATAATGTAAAATATATTTTGATGGGCAGAATCTTAACTTAAGTTATTATTGTGTTCTTTCTCTGATTTTTAATAGTCTAAGTGTAAATTATCCTCCAGAGAGTCCAGATGATAAATATTTTCATCTATAATACAGTTATGAACATTGACTCTCACTGGCTTTCAGTTTATGAATACATTTCGCCTCAGCCCTCCCTTGATATAATGCATGAATATGGATGGGCTGTTGTGCCTGAATCTATTCAGTGCATTGGAATAACTCCAACGTTGGCATAGAACCACCAACGGCAGAGGAGACCACACCGACCAGTCCGAAGGATAATCATGGGGAGCAATGACTCAAAGGGGCTTCTGATCACCGAGAAGGGTCTGTCTGGCGTGTCTGCAGTGAGTGACATGTTGCGCTTGTCCTAAACGCTCGTGCGTCTGTATTGACTGGCCAATATGTTGAGCCGACTGATGAGTGGCAGCGATCGGACTCTTGACAGGGAATTCAACTGTACAGTGCGACTGCTGGACGACTCGGAATACACTTGCACGGTTCAGGTCAGTATTAACATGTTTTCATCATCACAAGCGGGTTATCCCCATCACCGACACACGTGCTTTAATGTTCGCGCTGATGATGCTGCGGCGCATTCAAGCGGGAAAATCCGCGAGCATCTGTACGAATCTGGGATGAGAATGCGTTGAATCTGGACACTGCACAAGGGCTGCAATGCGTAATGGCTAATTAACGTGTTAGGAAATTTCCTTGATGAATGAATAAGCGCTGGTTTCAGTGTCCCGTCAGTATCCTTAGAGAGCAGCGGGTTACCTGTCACGTAGTGCCCTGCCGCCACCCCGAGAGACCTGAGTCACATTCAGTCGGAAGAGGCACTAGTGGAAAGGGTTCATACATTAAATTGCCTCTCAGGGCGAACTATCCACGATAACAGCTGCTGAAAGATTGTTGTAGCATACGTGCAACACTGTAATGGTGATTTACTAGCTGTTCCTGTTCTTCTTGTTTGGCCAAACTACAAGCCACATTAATTCAGCTATGTCTCTTGACAAAATTCCAGACTGTTTCAATAGGCTATACTGTTTTCTTGATGCATTTGTTTCCTCTACTTGTCTAAGGCAGCCCAAAAGCACGAATGGAGATTAATTTTGATTGATTAAAATGTGCCATTAATATCTTTTATTGAGTTGTATTGTAGGCCTATCATTGTATTAGCTAAGTCAATAATTAAAAGCAAAGTTTGGGATTGTTAGCCTATATGCTAAGTTGCCAAGAAGAGCAGTGGTTTTGTGTGTGTGTGTGTGTGTGTGTGTGTGTGTGTAGGCTATATATAGGCCTATATACTGTATATAGTTAGAGAATGAAAATATCCCAGGTGGAATAAAAGTGATGTTTTTATTAATGCATTTTCTCCTGGGCTGAACTATTCACAGATGTTCAGAATCAAAAACAGTTGCTGAAAGATTGCAGTATAGTTGCTGCTGCTCTTGCTCTAAAAAACAAAACAAAAACACTGGGTCAAAAACAAAGAACAGGCTACTAGCTTCATCTTCTTTCTTTTTTGTTTTTACTTCACTTCATACATAAATTATTGTTTATGGAATAACTTAATCCTCTAAAAATGTAAATACTGCACACATCCACTGGTTTGCATGATAATTCTTTTATTTACGATCATATTTTACAGTATAGCATATTTTATATTGTTTTTAATACATATTGCCTACATTTAAGCTCAGAATTGAGAAGTAATTCAAGTGTATTTGACCAGTCTCTGTTCTCGTGCTGGTGTCCTCCCTTAAAATTGGGTCTCTTACCAATTATTGATTAGTCTATAATAAGAACAATATTAATTTTACTATATAAATAGGTTACTATAAACCCTATAGTGCATAAAAAACAAATTGAATAATAATTTAAAATAATAATACTAATAATAACAATAGCACATTAAGTGAATAATTGAACATCATTACATTCTTTTTATAACTGAAATATATTTGGACATTTAACACTTCATTTAACATAATTAAATTAGTAATTACCTTAAAGATGTGTGTCAATATAGGACAAGTGAAAATGCGTGTATAAAGCTATCAGGCTAATTTGGGTATATGTGTGCTATGCTAAGCTAACTAATACAGACATTAATGGTCATTATATTTCAAAAGGCATTTTTCATAACATGATTTTGTTGGAATTGTAATCAGGCGCGAAAGAAAGTACCTATCACCACACCTTAGGTGGCCCCAGTAGTATGCCTGATCTAAAGCTGTTCTTGCGAAAACTTCTTAGCTAACGTGAGCTGTTTTAGCTTTATGTAGCTTGCCAAAGTCCCGCTGCTATAGGCCTATGGCTAAATCCCGCTGCTATGTACAAGATAAGATAAAAGGAGTTTGTAAAAACATTTTAAGCAGGTAGTCTAGCAGTTTTCTGCCAAGTAACATATCTATAGCACTTTTCACAGTACAGCTTTACCGAAAGACAGACAGCTATTATAAAGTAATTGAATTGTATAATGTAACTAAAAAAAACACTGAGAAGAAGGAGAACTGTTTATTTTTACAATCTATACCTTTGGTTATATACCATATGTAACATATACGTAAATTAAAAAAAACATGAATGGTACGTAGTTCAACCGTCTTATAGACGTTATAAAGTGATACTTTATTTATTTGTATAATAAAGAAAAAAATTACATGGAGTACATGGAGGCCATAAAGGGATGGGCATGGTCAGAAACAATGCTGTGGCATTTAAATGGTGCCAAATTGGCACTAAGGGGCGTAAAGTGTGCCAAGAAAACATCCCCCACTCCATTACAGCACCACCACCAGCCTGCACAGTGGTAACAAGGCATGATGGGTCCATGTTCTCCTTCTGTTTACGCCAGATTCTGACTCTACCATCTGAATGTCTCAACAGAAATCGAGACTCATCAGACCAGGCAACATTTTTCCAGTCTTAAACTGTCCAATTTTGGTGAGCTCTTGCAAATTTTAGCCTCTTTTTCCTATTTGTAGTGGAGATGAGTGGTACCCGGTGGGGTCTTCTGCTGTTGTAGCCCATTCGCCTCAAAGTTGTGTGTGTTGTGGCTTCACAAATGTTTTGCTGCATACCTCGGTTGTAACGAGTGGTTATTTCAGTCAAAGTTGCTCTTCTATCAGCTTGAATCAGTCGGCCCACCTCTAGCATCAACAAGGCATTTCCGCCCACATGACTGCCGCATACTGGATGTTTTTCCCTTTTCACACCATTCTTTGTAAACCCTAGAAATGGTTGTGCGTGAAAATCTCAGTAACTGAGCAGATTGTGAAATACTCAGACCGGCCCGTCTGGCACCAACAACCATGCCACGCTCAAAGTGGCTTAAATCACCTTTCTTTCCCATTCTGACATTCAGTTTGGAGTTCACTAATTGCATTAATGAGAAATTGAACAGGTGTTCCTAATAATCCTTTAGGTGAGCTCATCTGAATGCTCATCTGAAACTCATTTGGGTGGAAGGGTTTACCTTGACTGAACTCCACTTGCCCAAGTTACTGAAGGATTATGTTCAGAGCTCAGAGTTCAGAATTTTTAAACGCTGGAACAAATTATTTTAACAAGAAAAGAAGTTAATGGATTTGAAACAGTAAGTGTTCTGTATATAAGTTATATATTTGACAACATGAAACGTTAACTCTTGGAATAGTGAATTTGGTGGTTGTCATCATTCATGGTACTAGTTGTGTGAGGTCATGTTTGTGGTATGTCTGGGAATATCAGCATCAGATTGTGACATTCCATTGTCCTTGGAATTCTGTGTGATGCTGTCGTCTCCATGGCAACAGGCCGATTCCATCATCGGTTCCCAGCTGCTCCTGCTCTCGTCAGACAGGATATAAGCACACGTGTGCAAACGCACAAACCCGTCTGTTACACAGGATTCATTCAAACATGGCGGCTTGACAATGCAAACAGAGACAATCCTCTCCTGTCCTTTCCGCCCCTGTCCCACTTGGGATCGTCCTCTGTAATTGATTGATCAGGACAGTGGAGTTTGGTTAGAAATGCTTATTAGTGAAATATGGCCTCCCTCTTTTGAGAGACTGCTGACTGCGTTTGGCTCCTGGCAGTCACACATCAAGAGACCAGATATCTGAGACTCTCACACATATACCTTGATTACAGATCTCACCTTTGTGTAGGTCAGCGGTGCCTCTCAACTATATTGCACTGCTTATTGTTTGACCACACATACTACATGTCTGTCAAACGCCAACTATTCAGATAATTTACTTGTAAAATGTTATATAATTTGTCCACTGTACTGCTCTTGACTTATCCTATTTTGGCTGCATTGTTCTAATTAGCATTTCAGAATCATTATTAACTTCAAATGAAAGTACCAGTTGTTGAGGGCATGTCCTCAGGAAGGCACATCTTGCTCAGTTTGCAGTATCTAATTGCTTCTTTTTTTCCTTCATATCTCACTGTAGCATGCATGAACATGAGCCATTATGATTTGCAGTTGTTTCATGTGGGTGGCATCTCTTTTTCAATAACCCGAATTATCAATAACTTTAATCAAATCCTTTGAGGAATGAAAACAATGGTATTGTATTTTTCTGTTCATTGAACTGTGGATGCATTGAGGCTTGTGCCACACAACGATTGTGGTGTCTAAGTCTGTGTGAATGTGTGATTAGAGGAAGGGTTTTTATTACATGGGTTGTATCACTCTTTATCAGATATCAGCAGACCCTCATTCTCATTCAACAAAAAAACAGGCAGTTATCAATGAAGTGCACACCAAGGATATTTTTTCACTGGCAAATTCTTGTTAAGGACTCAATGTCAAATTCACATTTTTTCCCTAAGGTTCATACAGTTCATAACTTTTTCAAGTCAGTCACAATCTTTTTTTAGATCGGTCTAATTTGATACCAAAAATTAAGACTCACTACCCCTTGACAAAGTGATAATAGTAGGCCTACTTAAGTCACAGTCTTTACATAATGAATGCTTATACAACTGCCTAAGGTTATTGCTTGCTTGCTACTAAACAGTATACTTCTTAGGAAAAAAAATGTGTTCATGTGTATTGTGGAAAAGAAATATCCTTGTTCCATTGTACATGTATTATGGCTTGTAAATGTTATTGGAAATTTACTTTTTACTTAGTAGTCCAGTCGTTGTGCTGAAGAGTAATAATAAGAAGAGTGGAGGGCATTTATAAACTCAACTAACTGTGTAATTTGCAAAATGACCGTAGGGTATGGCTAGTTCCCCTGCCTCATCAGATCAAACTCCACAGTCAGTCATTCTAAATCTTCTAAATCGACACATAACCATGAACAATAAGAATGAGAGAAAAAAGAGTAAAAGAGATTTCATTCTGTTCATGATAAAAGACATAGGCCTACAAATAATTGCATTTATTTGATAGTGGTATGTGCAGAATATATTTTTTTCTTGGTTTCTCTAAAAGAGTCCAATGCAAATTCTTGTAGCTCAAACAGTAGAGAGAGAATAATTAGCCCAATCTCATGAAAGTTCTTATCTATATAGCACGAATGTCTTTCTCGTGTATATGGTACGCGTTTTTCGCGTGCATATGATACTCACTTTTTGGCATGTAATAAGTACGAACTCCCCACCCCCCTTCCCCCTAAATCTACCCAGGGGGTTTTCAGTGCATAGTATGCACACAAAAACCATTTTTGGCATATAAATGCCACGAGAAATGACAATCGTGTTATAGATATGCACTTTCATGAGACTGTGTTGGAATAATTGTAACACCAAGTTCAATTGCCAGGGAATCCTTGATCTGTTAAAAGGTTAACTTATCTAAGCAATACCTTAAATCTGCCAAATACATGAAAATAAATTCAATGAATTAAATTGAATAAAACATTTACTAAATTAATAAATGTAAATTCACCTACTCATTGAAATCACGTAGCCTCACGTAGTCTTGTCTTACATGACTTGGATGGTTAAATATAAAGATGTACTACCAGCAGCAAATTTATATCTCTTTGACTGTCCCTTTTTTTTTGCACGCATACTTTTCTTTTCCAAGTCCTCTTCTCACACTCCCTGCAGAAGTTGACAGTACTTGTCTTTCTGACTTTGTTATTGACTTGAGCCAATGTTACAAGACAAACAACAAACCAAGGATGAGATCATCTGGATCTCGTTTCCCACAATGTAGTTTGCTTGCCAGTATGTTGAAATGTGAAAGCATAACTTCATAGCTTCACTCACCGCAATTTTTTTTTGGTTATAGTTATGTATTCTATGCATTATAGTGGTTTTCTCCATTTTTTCCTGCTCAAATTCTGATGGTAAGATGATCCTTAAGCAATGCAACTAAAAGATAAGATGATTGAATAAACCAGGTCAGGGTGAATTTACACTTTGCTGAAAAATTCAATTAATACACCAGGATGCAAGTCATTCCGTGCTTTATATAGAAGTTTCAGGGGATTTTACTTGGTTATTTCAAAAAACAATGAAATGAATTAATACACGGTATACACACACACACAAACACACACATACAGTGTCTGTTCTTGATCATTTAGACCACACACACATACAGTGTCTGTTCTTGATCGTTTTGACCAATATGGCAGTCCGTGGTTTCAATGCTTGCTTCTTGTAAAATAAAACTATTTTATTTAAGCTACATAAGCTTAAATTTTGCTTAAAAAATAAATATAAGCTATTTAAGCTGATATAACTGGATTCATCTCACATGGCTGTACATTATGAAATATATTTCTAAAAATTACTCTTCATTTCAGTCATCATATATTTACCTATTACTAAGTAAATGATGACTGATCTTCTTACCATTCTCATATCATTCTAAACCCATTTGCCTTTCTTCTGTGAAAAAAGAAAAAAGAGACGTTTAGCATAATGTTCATGTTGCTCTTTTCCATAAAATAAAAACAAATAGTGAATACATGTTAGTAAAAAATCCCATTTGCTCAGTGCATAAAAACACAGCTAGGAATATGACTTGTCGCAGCATTGACATTTTACAAAGGAATAGACTTCACTGTGAGGGATAGGAGAATTTAAACTGATTTCTTGTTTGATACTGACCTACTGGATGCCTTGAAATAGTGGAATATGTTGCTGTAGAGTAAATCTTGGCCATATGCTTTTAGTTCTTCAGCATAGTTCTTCTCCTACAATACTATTTCTAGGTGTCAAGTAATAGCAAGCAAGCAATAACCAGAGACTACTTTTCAGCAAGCGAACCGTATGAACCATCTATATCCCTCACTCTTTTTCTTTCACATGCACACACAAACACACACACATACATGCATACAAATCACACTTTTAATTCTCACTATAGGTTTCGCTTCTCATGACCTGAAAGCAATAATTTATTAATATTGTTTGTGATGCTGATAGGGAGCCGATTTAAATATTTAATCTCAAGTGAATGGAGATCTGAGTACATACTGAGATTACTAAGACATTACTTGTACTTTCTAACACGAACTCTGCCTCTCTTCCAATTATGAGCACACTTGTAAAAAACAAACAAAATACTTGCCTTATTTACCATTTTGCAGATGTTGCTGTGTATAAAATCTCCAGGTGTTTTTCCACCCATGTGTCATATACATACAGTACATGTGCTGAACCGGGGAACTACATTGGTGCTTATAATGTCTGATAAGCTAGTGCTTGTTCACATCTGTCTGTTTATTCCTGAAAGCTGGTGTTGTAACCCTGATCCCTTGGCTTCCTGGACTGCTTTTTGCAGGCAATGATTATTTTAAAATCTGACTTTCCTCTATCACGCAGCTCTAAAGCTTAAGATGTCTTCAAAGTGCTGTGTGATTGTTAATATTTGATTGAGCTCTGATGTCTCCAGAGAGATTCTGAAATATTAAGCAGAAGGCAGGCCAAATGCTCACACCCTCTCTCCTTAATTGTACTCTGACTGCCACTGAAATTATTGCCACAACCAGTGCTTGGCAAAAAAATCTTTTCACCACTATAACAAAAAACCTCATTCAGCAATGGAGTTTAGAGAGACACATTCCCCTGCAGAAAGATTGCCTTAATTAACACAAGAATCCCAATACAACGGAAGTCGTTTTGTCTGTATCAGTGTCTATTTTGCGCCACAACATGGATAGACTACAACGGGTAAATGTTAGCTGTGTGGAAAATATCGATTTCTCGATTTAAATCGATACTGATATGGATTCTTAAATCTCAAGTTAATTATTTTAATCTATACTTTTCCAATGATGTAGCTTCAATTTGTAGCACACATGCAACCTATTAATGTTAATATTTTAATAAAAATGGGAGTAGAAACATAATTCTATTATTAATAGTCTTATGTGCAATTTAAATGTTTGTACAACTTGTACAAGTTTTATTTGAGTGTTGATTATTAAATAAATCTGTATAATTACTCCATTTAGGGACTAATATACACTTTTGGTACCAAATAAGTACCTTTGGCTTTGAGGTACTATTACAGATACAAAAGTGTACCTAAAAAAGGGTAAAGCAAATTCACTAAAAGGCAAGCCTCCAATCTTTAGCCAAAAAGCGCAGTAGTGGCTAAAGCTAACGCTCCAGCTTTGGCTGCAGGCCTATGCAGTGAAGGAGACAACACTTAACCAACTTTTTTTAGTTAATGATCTGTAAGAATGGATCTTTATTAATACCAGTCATTGATTCGAGTAACTTTTATGGCATTTGTTTATAAAATGTTTTATTTCTACAATATATGGTGTAAAAAACGTCTTAGTGCTGCCCTCTTCAGGTTGAACGGTGGCTACTGCAGTTGAATTTTCCTATTGGATGTTTGCGGTGGTACGTGACATAGCGGTTGTTGGTGACGTAGGCAAGTTCCATACAAAGAGATGCGTCTCAGGTGCACGCCCCCCTCCGCTTATTGCCAGTGGGTGGAGTCAGGCTCTGACCAGGGGTTTAGTTACCCTTTAAAATGCATATCAATACATGGTTTTCTACGCTGAATGAAACGTTTTGTGAGGAATAGCTTTTATAAAGACAGTGCACTTCGTGTATACAGACGACACCATCTTTGTCTCAATAACAGTCTCGATAAGTCGAATAAGTCGTTCTGTTTTCCAAATATGGCGCCGCCTGTATACACGAAGTGCACTGTCTTTATAAAATATCTTCTTATTAAATGGTCTACACTGTAAGCTCTCAATGCTTTGTTTTGCATGTAGGGACCCTCATTATGTTACTGTGTTAATGTGGGGCTATTTTGAGCTTTGTTAATAGTATTAACTAGCGATTTCTATTTACTTATTAAATGCCCCCATATACTAGTGCGAATACACTAAACAGTTTTTAGAGATAAAACTCTTTACATTCATCGATTATCATGAAAACAAATCTCAGAGAACGGTTGACTAGGCACCAATGTGTAATTAGACCAAAGTAAATTTTACGCCACAGTTCTCCTTTAAATCCATCCTTCCATAACAAAGGAAGTTCCTGAGGTACACTTTCGGGGGCGAAGCGTAACTTACCAATATTGTGTTCCTCCTTTTGTAGCCACTGTAAAGCAGCCACTGTAAAACAGTTTCAAAAACTGTTTGGTCTGATGGCAGGCAGCTGCGTCCCACGTTATACCTTGCGGCCTGTTGTACATGAGACCGTTGCGGTGGTGGCTCGGGACCAAGGGGTTCTCCCCGAGGGGAAACCCACTCCACGTGATCAAGGTCACGCGGCGATGCCAATATTTTGTATTGTTGTTTATTTCGAATTTATGCAAAAGAACATCTGACAAGAAAATAAAATCGGTAAACAAAGGTAAGGTAAGGTAATTTATTTATAAAGCACAATTAAAAACAACGGGTAGTTGATCATTGTGTTGTAGCCTACAATTTTTTTGAAAACATGCCACTGGCAAATGTAAAAAAAAAATGTAAATATTTTGTTTTAAATTTACAAGTAATGTGTTACTTTCCTCATTACTTGAAAAGATTAATCTGGTTACATAACCCATGCTACGTGTAATGTACTACACTGGTCAGTAAAAGAAGTTGAGTTATGTCCAATAGAACTGATATGATCCCAAGGACTGTGTACAAACATTGTCACATTGATTCCTGTGTCTCTCTTTTCCAGAGGGATGCAAAAGGTCAATGGCTCTTTGAGCAGGTTTGCCATTATCTAAACTTGTTGGAGAAAGACTACTTTGGCATCCGATTTGTGGACCCAGACAAGCAACGAGTGAGTTCCTATAAATACAAAATGAGCTGTTAATAGTGTACTAAGCTTGTGGAAAATGTTTTTTAAGGTGGACACCATATTTAATTTTATACAAATAAAAACAAGGCTGTGAGGTGCAGAAGTACAGTTGGTTCAATGGGTTGTTACTGTATGTTGGATGTTGATTTTTAAGGCAATGCAAAAAAAAAAATCCAGTCAACAAAACACAAACCATTGATTGTGAAAAAGTAGACATTCAGACAGCACAACAAATTGACTGTTTTATTCATCGTAGCCTTGATCTATGTCCCATCAATTTATTAAATATGGCATCTATATATCAATAAACTTTAACCATGGCTGATAAAAGCAATGTTAATGATTGTGCATGAGCTTGAAGCAGGACATCCAAAGATCACATGCTGACTCAGATGAAGAGCTGCAATAGGGGTGATGCAATCGACATGTAATGTTGTGAACAGTCATCAGTTGAAAGTCATAACAATGTGTTAAACTGGAATTTCTATCTGCATTCTAGACATCATTTCTTTTTTATTTTGTCGTTTCAGCACTGGCTGGAGTTCAGCAAGCCAATTACCAAACAAATGAGATGTAAGTCATATTGGATGTGGAAAATCCTTCTTACACTGTGTGCATGTTGTGAAAAGAATAATCATTCTAAAAAGCAGAAAATTGATATTGTCTGGTTAATTACATCCACATGGATATTGTATGTCCCAGCTCAGCCACCCTACACCATGTGTTTGCGTGTTAAATTCTATCCTCCGGACCCTGCAGCTCTTAAAGAAGATATCACTAGGTACTGCTCATTACCATGCAGCCCTATTATTCAAAGCTGACATAGTTAAAGAATCTATAGGAATTCATATTAGACAAGTTAGAGTCTTACAATTACCTGATGTATGTACGATTAACACACTGACAGTTCAAAATATGCTCTGCATTGTTTTCAGATACCATGTCTTCCTTCAGATTAAAAGAGATTTGTATCACGGCCGACTCCTGTGCAAAAGTTCAGATGCTGCTGCATTGGCCGCATTTATTCTGCAGGGTAACAGCAAACCAGTCACAGGAGCCATTCTTTACAATTTTTGTTGAAATGTGACATCTCGGGAGCTTTGTTATATGGATTACATTACAGCAAGACAAGACTCTCAAGATGACACTGTTTTTGTTTTATTCTTTCTCAATTTTTTTGTTCAGCTGAGATTGGCGATTATGACCCAGGGAAGCATCCGGAAGGTTACAGCTCTAAGTTTCAGTTTTTTCCAAAGCATTCTGAGCGCCTGGAGCGCCGCATTGCTGAGATCCACAAATCCGAGCTGACGTAAGCTTACATTCAATTAGCCTGTCACATGCAGTATGTCACTCTTTTTAAAGCAGCGCTGGTGTTTAATGGAGAGATTAAATACATTTTATGAAATGTATCTCCCAGAACAAACACAGAATATTAACTAGTCTGTTTATTTCCTTCAGAGGCCAGAGTCCTGAGACATCTGAAATGAATTTCTTAAGGAAAGCTCAGTCTCTAGAAACATATGGAGTAGATCCACATCCCTGCAAAGTCAGTATCCAAATTCATCAGCTGCTCATATACAGGAAATTATTTCAACACAAGTGTCTGAACTGAAAGTCTTTTAATCAGAATTTTTACATTTACAAAGAAGTGTAAACACACAGATTTATATATTTTTTTGTATGACAGGATGTGTCTGGGAATGCAGCATTTCTTGCATTTACCCCCTTTGGCTTTGTGGTACTCCAGGGGAACAGGAGGATTCATTTCCTCAAATGGTGAGAGGTGAAATTAATCTCGCATATCATTTTCATTTGCTTAGCAGTCAAGATCAAATGACTGTGTATATGAATAACTTTGACAGTATTTTGTCATATTGGACAGGAACGAGGTCACCAAACTAAAGTTCGAAGGAAAGACATTTCATATATATGCAACTTATCAAGAGGTAGGTGACAGCAAGGCAGTTCCAGGTTATGCAGAAGAACAAATGGTCAAAAGTAAGATGAATGCAGATTGATGCAAAACCTAAGAATTGATCAGGAAACCAACCTGTTCTATTTAACCACTAAATAATTGCTCTTACTGACCTCCTGTGACCTTTACTAAGGATCAGAAGATCATCTTGACTTACTTTGCTCCAACACCTGAGGCCTGCAAGCATTTATGGAAGTGTGGGGTGGAAAACCAAGCTTTCTACCAGTGAGTGTGCATAACCTTTTTGACCTATCAGGCAGATATTGGGTTCAAGCATGGTAATAGCATAAAAAGAGCAAGCAATCAAGCATAAAACATCTTGCCTATGATTTAATTTAGTTTAAACCAGTGGTTCTTCACCTAGGCATTTTGGGGCCTCCACAATCTTCTAGTCTGCAGGAGGACTTAAAATTAATTATAAGAATAAATCGAATAAATACAAGAGGAAATATCTTAGCCAATATGGGGGTTAAGATATTGTTATAATATCCGTTAGATATTATGTTGGACAATGGGGGGCCTACGAGTCAAAAAGGTTGAAAACCTCTGGTTTAGACAAACAGTTATTTTTCATATTTATTTTTTAAATCTATCTCTCATTCTCTTCATTTCTTACAGGTTTGAGAAATCAAGTCAAGTTCGCACTGTGTCCAGTAGTAATCTTTTCTTCAAAGGGAGCCGTTTTAGATATAGGTGAGTAGTATCTGCTATAAGTGAACCTCATGCGTTTTTGAGCCCTGCTTAATTAGGCTTGTGTTGTTAATGTATGTTAATTAATGGATTAGCTGCAAGCAACGCTAAGATTTTGATTGCATAATTTCCCTTATAGCGGTAAAGTGGCCAAGGAAGTGATGGAACAGAGTGCCAAAATCAGACGAGAGCCTCCAGAGATCCACAGGCATGTCTTCCCAACACTGACTTGTTTTCTTAACAGTTTTACTGTGTTTGACAGTATGTCAATTGTTATGTCGCATCTTTTTTGTGGGTTCAGGGCTGGGATGGTCCCCAGTAGGAGTTGTCCCTCCATCACTCATGGCCCACGACAGAGTAGCGTTCCCCGAACACGGAGGAGAGCAGTCCATATTTCCATCATGGAGGGTATGGCCATGTGCATAAGCATAAGCACACACACACACATAATGTGTGACATAATGTTTTTATCAAAAACATATAGACATAATTTTTTTATTCTGTACAAACTGTATTTTTTATCCCCTAACAGTACTCCTAAACACAATCCTCAATGAAAATCTGTATTAAAAAAGTATGAATTATAAACTGTTTTCCTTATGGACCCAACAATCTCAAAAACTTCATGTACTATTGTTTGGTCCTCGCAAACACACACACTCACACTTAAGCATATAACTGCTCTTCTCTAATAATAACAATTTAATTTAATTTGTAACTAGAAAAGTTATGCATTCTGTCTTCTGAATCCAACTCAAGGCAAGATCCGTAGTTCCTATACTCACTGAAAAACTGCCATCTGGTGGTTTAACGTTGTATCTCCCCTATAATAAAAAGCATCATAGAGATTTTTGGTTTGGTTTATTCCTCCACTATGATTCATTATTGTGGACTATACTGGATTATAACTTGCAGTTTTTGCCATTTTTTAATGTCAGCCACTACAATTCTATAATTCATATTTAATTATTATTCATATATAAATATATAATATAATTATATATTCAAATATAATTAATATATCTCATAAATCACAATTCAGTTTTGTTCACAACACAATTCTGGTTGCAATGTTTTTCAAAATATATAATTCAACTATAAACATACACAGAGCACACTACACCATTCAAATGTTTGGGGTAAGATTTCCCAATGTTTTTAAAATTATGCTTACCAAAGCTGCATTTATTTGATCAAAAAATGCAATATTATTGCAATAAAAAAACAGTTTTCTGTTTTAATAAATAAATGAAAATGAATAAAATAGAATGTCAAATTGAAATTCCTTCCTGTGATGGCAACATCATTACTCATTACTCCAGTCTTCAGTGTCACATGATCCTTCAGAAATCATTCTAATGTGCTGGTTTGCTGCTCTCATTTGTGTAAACTATTTATTTTTGTTCAGGTTCCTTTGATGAATAGATTGTTACAATTCTCTTTAAACTACGTAAACTTATGTCACTTTTGATCAATTTAATGTGTCCTTGCATAATAAAGTATTGATTTCTTACTGACCCCAAACTTTTGAACTGCAGTGTACTGTACATAGTCATGATTACAAACCTTGAAGCTGAGAAGATAACAAAAGTGTGCTCTGGATAGGAATACACCACACTCCATCTCCCTCTATTACTCTATGTGTAACATGAGAGCTGCTCTCATTGTGCACAATATGACCAGACCTTCACCTGTTCCAGTCACTTTACAGCCTTGCCAAATGCCATCATGGTTGCATTTGTCTGTGTGTGAGGCGGGTGCTCTATAAGTGTGCTATATATTTTGCATTTAAGGTTAGTTTTGTTTTAGTACCTGCCCTGTACAGAAAGAATAAAAGTCTAGTACTTTAGTGAAACAGACACAGTGTGCTTGCAAAAACACACAGGCTACTGGTAAATTAAAAATAAATCACTATAAAGCAGGGGGTGAAAGCTAACAGGAAGTACAAATTAAGGCTTCACAAGCCCTGCAAGTGAGTTTCATGACAATTTGTGTCATGCACAAGAAAATACAGAGACAATGATGAGTGACAGATTTTACCTTGTCCAACTAGGTATCATCACTGTTATTATTACACTGTCTATAAATAGAGAGCCTGTCCATGTATGCCATGTGGTTTGTGTCAGAATGAGTGTGTGTTGTGCTCTTTTCTTACAGCCCATAATGGGTTTGAGGGGGATGGAGCATGCAGGGCAGCTGGGCTTCTGGGCATAGAGGGACTTATGGAGCTTTAGGGTGTTCTCGCTTTCTCACACTCACTTTTTCAAACACACACACATGCTGTAGTGTTATGTCATTTTTGTTCAGGAGGATAGAGGGAGGAAAGGGGGCTATTGGTGATACACTGACGCAGGGGCGAGAACATCAGATACTTTAGCGGCTACATTCTGAAACCATGGTGAAGTGTCTCATACGGATTAAAACAAAGGTGAATGTTCACCTGCGGATGATCAACCACTGTTACCGGGATGTGAAGGTACGGGTGTTGACGATGGGACCTAGACTATTAGGGAAAGCTCTAGGAGCTCTGCCTCTGTTCCCTTCTTTGCCGAGCTCCTCCACTTCCTCTGGAGCTTCATCCAGACTTGGTGTTCAACCCACCAGCACTGCAGGTAAAGCTCTTGGTCATTTGGAACAGCTGGGTGTGTCCAACTTATTTCAGTGAGGCTGCATTTGAATTTGTTAGTATACAGCGGATTGGAGTGCCGCCATTGTTAGCATGGATTGTGTTTAGCTTTTATGGATTGTGGGTGGAGCTGTATTTTCCTGTGTTGTTGTGCGGTTCTACAATATACACTAATTATATTTACAGAGTAAATTTATAAAATGTAACATTATAAATTTACTCTCACCTTTGATCAATTAAATGCATCCTTCCTGAATAAAAAGTATTAATTTATCAAAAACAAATCGTACTAAGCCTAAACATTTGAAAAGTAGTTTATACTGTACATGAAGTTCAAATTTTTGTAGGTGACATTTCAAACATATTTGTCTGTTCCTAAGACTTAAAACTTCAACCTTTTAAACTACTACTCTAAACTTTCAGGCAATGCTTTACCAAGCCATCATTCTTGATTCCTTGCTATAAAATGACACTTATTTCAGTTCATTTATACTTCCTTAAATTCATAATTTATCTCCTGTATTTAGCGATCCTGTTTGCTACATCAATTCAAATTTGAATTTAAAAGGCATTCTAAATTCAATTCTGACTGGTACAAAAAACCCTGAAAGCAAATAGACATGAAAGCATCACAATCACTGAACATCCTTACTCTGTTTCAGGTTTGGAGTCCCTGCGTGACAGTGGCCATTCCACACCAGTGCGGTCGGTCTCCAATGGCAACTCATTCCTACGCTCCCATGGAAATGGAGCCGAGGGAGGAAGTGGGACAGCTGAGTTTTCTGACGATTCTTACAATCCCTCTGACAGCGTGCTTCCCACACCTGTGTCCAACGACCCTTCAGACCAGGCACAGGTGCGCCACACAAACGGGCCACGCAGGATCCAAGATGAAGGAGGAACAGAACCATGCACTCAAAACCAGGCAAGGCCACAGGCCGTTAAGCCCAAAGGGAAACGTTCCCACCTGGAGAAGACTCGAGTAACCCAGCATGGCCCAGAGGAGGAAGGGGTGAATGATTTCATCTGTAGTTTGGCTCGTCTTTTCTTAGTGACCCTGGCTCTGCTCTTTGCCCTCCTTATCCTTCTTATTGTGCTAACAGAATCTGAGCTGGACTTGGCCCTTCTTAGGGACATCCGGAGGACACCTGAATTCCAGCAGTTCCACTATGAATACTTTTGCCCCCTTAGGCGCTGGCTGGCCTGCAAGTTGCGCTGGATGGGTGGCAATCTCATTAACAAATAACTGAGACTTGAGTGCATAAACAGCCCTCTCTCCTGAGAGTGTAGTCTAATATGAGAGTGGGACCTTCTAAGCATTAATATCATACCATGTACCATGAGATTAAAGCGAAATTACTATTAACTACGTAGCCAAAGCCCTTGGACTTCCTACCATGCCATGACGAGAGAACCTGTTTGTTTAAACTCTAGTTATTGTGAAATTGTTCTCTGCAGCACTTGGGTAAAAAATTCAATGTATAGGTATTTAAATGCTGCTGTGACCCACCCGTCCTTTATCTATAATTTAAATATAATATCTACACTCTAGAAATATTCAACCAGACTGTGATAACTGATAAGTTAGACCTCATACTGCAATCAAAGACAAAGTTGCCTTTATTGGCCAGGCAATAGACAGGGTCCGAGACAGCCATAGTTCACCTAAAAATTTTCTCACCCTTATGTTGTTCTAAACTCATAAGATTTTGGTTAATCTAATCTAATGAAACACAAGATATTTGGAATAAAACCTGAGAGGTTTCTGTTCCTTGTCCACGCAGTTTGTCGTAATTTATTACAAGTCTTGAGAAGAGTATGATCGCTTCATATGCTGAACAGATTCAATGTTGGCTTCTGTTGGCATGATACATAATGAGTAGTAATGAAAGCACATCACATATGGTAAACAGAAGCTCCAATGTGAGAATCAATTATGAGAGATTTTGATGAACAATAAAAAAAACTTACATTTTTTACCACTTGTGATATACTGTTCATTATAAAAAGTGATCATATCTCTTTAAAAGTCTTGGATTTAACTACCCAATTCGTATGGGTTCATTTCATGACACCTTTATATTACCGTTTTGGAGTTTTAGTTACATGGAATTCAATGGAAGGACAGAAACTTCTCGGGTCCTCAATATATATTCATTTGTTTTTGAAAGATAAATAAAAGTCGTATGACATGATGAGGATGAGGAAAGAGTTTTTGGGTGAACTATCTCTTTAATGTTGGACAGTTTGGGAGTGAGTTTGGAAGTTTTTTGGATGAGGTTTTTTGTAAGTGTAATGTGTTGGTACAGGGTGTAAATTTGATTGACAAATTTACAAATTGCCATTGACAGTGTCATCTCTTTTAATAGTGCTTCAGTGCTGTTTTGATGAGAATTTAGTGACATTTTACTAGAAGGTTAAATTTGTTAACATTATAGGTATCATGTACTCGTTAATTCATCCTTCTAATGAACGAACATGAATTAACAATGAATAATAGTACATTTATATTGACCTAAATAAAAAAAAAAGCTTTTAATATAGTTGCTCATTGTTAGTTCATGATACCTAATGGATTAATACATTCAACCTTATGGTAAAGAGTTACTGAGAATACATTTGTGTAAAGACTTCAACACCAAGGAATGGGTCATGAAAATTCCCACTGACCTTTAAGCCTTTAATCAATCCAGAGCGAGAAACGATATTCTATCCCATACAAATGTGCACTGATATTTAGTGGAAGATGGCAGCCTTGAGATTTAAATATTCTGATGAGGGTGAAGAAAGTGCACTTGATGGACAAAGTAATGTGAAATATTTGAAAGTCTAAACTATTTCTGAAAAAAAAAAAAACCCATTGAATTATCTATGATTTGTTCAACTATTTTTTTAAGCATGCATCAATATACTGGAGACCTCATTCTTCCACTTACACAGCCTTATTTTTCAGAATTAAAATGATGATGTCTTCTGTAGGAGATTATCAGTTGTGTAATTATGAAATGATCTTATCCAAAGGCACATAGTCTCAGAATGGCTGAATTGGTAAATACATTTTCAGTCTAAACCAAATGACAGAATGTTCAATTTCTGCTTCTTTTCTAATGCCTTCGTGAGACACATATAGTATAAGACTAGTGGCAGAGTAATTTATTTTAAATGACAAACCGATGGTTAATTTAAGACACAAAGGTCATCTGTGGAAGTAATCACACATACCTATATGCACATTTTGATAAATATCTTTGGTAGAAAAGCTTATGTCAAGAAAATAAAAATAAAACCTAACTGGAACTCAATGGTACTTTCAGTTGTCAGGCCTGCAGCAATTGCAAATGTCCCAAAAAGATCTAAATCATATTTGGGGGTTGAAAACCCTACATTTCAAGAAAGCAACATAGTGTGATGTAATTATTTAATGTGTTGTTGTGTGCCGCGTGTGTGTAGCTTTATAAAATAGCCTAATATAACTAGAAACAGAATGAACAATACCACTGATGGCACAGATGAAAACACCTGTATCGCAATCTGAATATGTTTGTCTCTGTAGCCTACTGGTGATTATGCGATAATAATAAAAAAAGAAATTAAGCAATACAAGATGACACTGATAAGCCAGCAGAAAGGTGTTTTGTTAATCTAAAACAACAAGATGGTTGAGACGTGCATTACAAATTCAGTAACCTAACAATGTGTTGATCGTTTGTCTGACACTGTGCCGGTTGCAATCGGCAGGTGGCACTATAAATCAGCTCTACTATACTGTGACTGACTAATTCTTCAAATCGGTGGCGATGGACACTGACATTTCAAATGGTCTGTTTCACTCAAAGCAATAGCAGATTGGAATGTTGTATTTCAGAAAACAATCTGAAATGGATTATGATGAATTACACTGTTATACAATGACTCGACTGTGCCTGAACCATGTGATCTTCCTGCTCACTGTACAGCATCAGATTATTATTTTCTGTGAATTACATATTTTATTTTCATTGATTCATACCATCAATTTGGTTACCCTGTGTTGTACCAAGAAGGCATTAAAGCAGTTTATTTTTATGTTTTTCTAAAAAATAAATAAACCTTCTCCAAAACAAATGTATAATGTACTTACTGTAATCCGTTTTGAGTTTTATAAAATCGTTTAAAAATTGGCTATATAAGAATGATGTCGATGTTGGTCTGCAATAATCGATGTAGATTGTCATCTTGATTCTACTTTTAGTCTATATAAAATTGCCTTGATACAGTCTGTAAATTCTTTGTCTTCTTCTCAACATTATTAGTGAACTATTTTAAATTCATTTCCGGAAACCTTGCTGCGATCCTCATTGTAGAAACAGGAACGAGGCCTTAATGTTCTACTTACAAATGTAGCCTATGTGAAAATGCATGATAAATGACTATCGTTAGGCCTATTTGAGTAATCTGGCTGAGGCTATGTGATCACTTCAGAAGTCATTGCAATGTTAAGCAATTACCACTAGTCGGCAGAAACACTCCTCTCATCCAAATCTCTCAACACATTTTCGTTGCTAATGCTAATCGTCGGGCAAACCTAAAAGGGGAGATGAGAGGGGCTAATATTATCCGTGTAAAGTCCCATACCTCAGACTTTGTTTTAGATAGTGGATATTACTGAATGCACAGGGTTTTTATTCACAGAAGAGATTAGACATTAAACTGGCAGTAAAAGGAAAAACGTGAGGGGAAATTCATAGGCCTAGCAGCAGAACACGTAACACTGTCAACATTAAATCATCCAGCTAGTTCAAGCATGCTATGGAAGGTCAGATTGCCATCTTAAATGTTTATGTGTTTTGGTCTTAGACTTTCAATAACAAATTTTGCTCAGTGCTAAACATCAACTGAATTATTATCCTATGCTTAAATTAAACACACCCAAGCCAACATTTTCTTTAAACCTCAGCAAATTGGAGTCAATGGAATATCTGTAAAAAAAAAAAAAAAAAACTCACCAGATATTTTATTCCAATCTGAAATTAAGACTGAGTTTACCCATTATTTCTGTGTTTAACAGTGCCTCCAGTTCAAACGTTTGTTTGTTTCCCTTCTTTTTTTTTTTTGAAAAAAAAGTATACTTCAATTCAGCTAGGGTTCATAAACTGATCAAAGTAGTAAAGACATTTATAATGTTACAAAATATTTCATATTTCATGCTGTTCTTTTGACTTTTCTGGTTATCATAGCCTAGTATCACATTTCCACACTGAAGACTGTGATGCTGAAAATTCAACTTTGTCATCCCAGGAATAAATTACATTTTTAATGTCATGTTACGCTTGTTTACGTTTCTTTACGACCTGTCACATTTTAACTGCGCACACGAAACCACTAAACACGTATTTTTTCTGCCTCCGGGTTGCAAGCAGTGATGACGTTGCAGAGAAATGTATATTGCAATAGAAATAAGAAATAATCATATTTCACAATGTTACTGTTTTAACTGTATTTTTTTCATAAAATATATTTTTTTTAACAGTTGTGTAGGCGATATCCAGCCCATGTCATACAAAGGATGTACATTTTGGAAGTTTGGTTTCAGTGGTTAATGTGATGTTCACCTGCATGTGGCACCACAAATCAAAATCCTCGACAAGCTTTCCATTCTTCCATTGATCAACACAGGATGAAAACTATCATCATGAGATGTCCATGTAACTTCAGCCTCCTGGTGCTTGGAAAGGATCCCCATGTCTCAGTCAGATGCCTGATTTTATAGTCAGATTTAATGGAGCAGAGAAATGCCATCAGGCAGACGAGCAGGTTTACTTGAATAGACTGTCCATTTAAGGGTTATGCCAAGCTGGGTTACGACAGGACTAACAAGCACCACGCATCCTCTCAACACCCAGTTGGGAGCATATTAGCATGGTTCTGCTTACCTGTATATGCTAGTGGTGCTGGTAGTGAGCTTGAAAAACGTAAGAGGAACTTCGATCATGAATTTCAGCAAGAGAATGATGTTTTAGTAAAAAAAAAAAAAATAATAAAAAGCTAGTAAGTCAGTTTTGGAAAATGTGATGTGCTTGTGTGCCTATTTGTGGCCCTGCTATAATTAGCCTTCAAGGCCATGCAAGCTGCAGACTGATTGGAAACAGCAGAGTCTTATGCCCCCGTGCACCACCCCAGGAGTCCAACGGCACTGAAAGAAAACACTGAGCGTGTAGAGTGCACCCCTGTCCTGAGTGTCAAAATAAAGACATAAACCAGTGAGAAATCTACTGCGCTGGGATGCTGGCGGTGATGACAGAAGATTTTAGCTCGACCCCTTAACTTTCTAAGTTTGGGGAAACGAACACTTTTTGCGTTTAATGTTGACAGGCTTTAAGAATGTTGGATACAAGCAGCTGACTGTGAATGCATGTGGAGACTTTGGAGATTAAGAAGATGAGTTCCAGAAGGCTGATGAACCGTTCGCTCTCGAGTGATGGAAGGTCTTACTACGGTGCCAGCGATATCACCTCCAATAGAAGGTCTGGCAGTAGGAGCTACCTGAGCAGTGCCCGATCTGAAAGCAGGTACAGGTTTATGATTCCTGATGTAGAATAATTGCCCTTGTGTAAAGCATTTAACTCTGGTTATTACAGAGGGACTGTCCCTGTAATGTGTTGATAAAGGCATCTGTTAAATGACTGCTTTCAAAATATACATGCTTTTAGTGATTTATTTTTTTGTAAATTGGAGATTTGTGATAAATAATGCCATAGGGCTTAAACAACAATTTAGATTCCTAAGCCTAAATAAACAGCACATAAATAATGCATATCAAAAGCCATATGCTATTACAAATTAATTCAAGCTTACATTGTTTATAATTCAGAATAAACACATAATAATAATTTAAAAAAAACGTGTAAGCATAGAATACAGGGTGATTGAAGGGAATATTTTGATTTCCTTACTTTACTGCCAATAGTTCAGAGCTCCACCACTGGTCTGTCGGACTGTTGAAAGGCTTGTGTGAAGGTCATAAGGTTATAAATAAGTAGTCCTCATGGCCACCCTCAATAAATGTCTTTTAGTATTCACCAGTGCCCAGCTTACCACAGTAGCAACGATTTTATCAAATATGTTTAGTCAAAAACAACCTTTAAATATTATGAAAGCTTTACAATGTACAAAAAATAAATGTGGCATGCGTTAAATTACTATGGAGATGTTATTGGTTTCAGTTTTGGCCAACATAATTCCCAAAATACAGAAATTCATGTCTTTAATTACAAATAGACCTGTATGCAATAGTTGAGTTTGTTCATCACTAAAACAAACTTGTGTGCATGGCTGATAAACACATCAAAGATGCTGTAACATCAGAATTACCCGTCATTATCTAGAGTCAAACAACATTCTCAGCTAATTTATACCTCTAACAAACTATTGGTTATTCAGTTAGAGTTTTCCATTTTTTTAATGTTGTGTCTCACCTAATATAACCACTGTAAATCTTACTTTGCATGAATGCTAACAATAATGGCGACAGTGATGACTGTGCTGATGACGATGCAAATGATTTATGCACATTTAGCATTACATCAATTATATATTTACCTCCATTTTAGGAACACTCTCTGCAGTGTCATGGCTCAATTAACTGAGGATACACAGCCAACATTTGAGTCCACCTTAAAATCCAAAGCTGTGTCTGAAGATGCTAACGTCAAGTTCAACTGTGTGGTCTCAGGTATCCCATCAAAGCAAGCGAATGCATTATGGAATATTACTAAAGTGGTCCAAACTTTCTGCTCACCAGGTTTTGTTTTTGACCATCCCATTTGCAGGCTACCCAGTCCCTGAGGTTACATGGTACAAGGATGACATACAATTGGACAGATACTGTGGCCTTCCCAAATATGAAATATCACGCAATGACAAGACACACACACTCCAAATATACAAGTATGCTCTTTTCTGAGAACTTTTTTTCTTCTTTTGATTATTGTTTAGTGAACATTTACAGTGCTTATTTCTATCTTAGCTGTACTCTGGAGGATGCTGCAATTTACCAAGCATCAGCACAGAACAGTCGAGGCATTGTGTCATGTTCAGGTGTGTTGGAGGTCGGAACAATGAGCGAGTACAAGATTCATCAAAATTACTTTGCAAAGCTTAAACTGCGAAACGAGAACCGTCGCCAAGAGCAGGAGGAGCACCGCAATATAGGCAAAGAGAATGTCCCAGCAGCCTTTGAGCACGACAGGATGAGTAGTCCTGAAAGAGCCCAGAGGAAACGCAGGTCCATGGAGGCTTTAGAGGAGAAAGCGGTACAGGTGGAAACATCTCCAGTAGAGGACAGACTGGCTGCTCCAGTACAAGTGTCAGCAGCAGGACTTTTCCATGGCATCTCAAACTCAGAAATGATTGCAAACAGAGACAAAGACAGTGAGGGGCTAATGTATATCCATGAGACTGTGCATAGTGCCTCCAGCAAACAGACCAATGAGCATTATATCAAGAAGAAGCTCAAAATCTCAACAGCTGCAACAGAGAAAAGCAAGGAAAACAGACCAACTGGAAGAGGGGAAGAGATGATGAATGAGAGAGGGACTTCCAGTGAGAAGATGGAGGTACAGAACACAGTCGATCAAATTGCCTCAGTTACTGAATCTAGAAACAAAATGGACATAACAGACAGACAAAAAAGTAGAAAACAGCCAGAGATAGTCAACAAAAGTGCCTCAGAAGAATCAAAGACGGCTAAAGGTGCTCATATTACCACAGTGACAAAATCTAGAAACAAAATGGACATAACAGACACAAAAATGAAAGAAAAGCAGTCAGGGAATGTGAACAAATGTCCCTCAAATGAATCAAGGAGAGCTCAAGGTGCTCAGATTGCCTCAGTGATTGAATCTAGAAACGAAATGGACATAACAGACACAAAAATGAATGTAAAACAGTCAGTGAATGTGAACAAAAGTGCCTCAAACGAATCAAGGAGAGCTCAAGGTGCTCAGATCACCAAAGTAACTGAATCTACAACTAAAATGGGCATAGCAGACACAAAAATGAACGCAAAACAGTCATTGAACGTAAACAGAAGTGCCTCAGAAGAATCAAGGAGAGCTCAAGGTGCTCAGATCACCACAGTAACTGAATCTACAACTAAAATGGACATAACAGACACAAAAATTAATGTAAAACAGTCAGTGAATGTGAACAAAAGTGCCTCAGAAGAATCAAGGAGAGCTCAAGGTGCTCAGATCACCAGAGTAACTGAATCTACAACTAAAATGGACATAACAGACACAAAAATGAATGCAAAACAGTCATTGAATGTGAACAAAAGTGCCTCTGAAGAATCAAGGAGAGCTCAAGGTACTCAGATCGCCTCAGTGACTGAATCTAGAAACAAAATGGACATAACAGACACAAAAATTAATGCAAAACAGTCATTGAATGTGAACAAAAGTGCCTCAGAAGAATCAAGGAGAGCTCAAGGTGCTCAGATCGCCTCAGTAACTGAATCTACAGCTAAAATGGACATAACAGACACAAAAATGAATGCAAAACAGTCATTGAATGTGAACAAAAGTGCCTCAGAAGAATCAAGGAAAGCTCAAGGTGCTCAGATCGCCTCAGTAACTGAATCTACAACTAAAATGGACATAACAGACACAAAAATGAATGCAAAACAGTCATTGAATGTGAACAAAAGTGCCTCAGAAGAATCAAGGAGAGCTCAAGGTGCTCAGATCGCCTCAGTAACTGAATCTACAGCTAAAATGGACATAACAGACACAAAAATGAATGCAAAACAGTCATTGAATGTGAACAAAAGTGCCTCAGAAGAATCAAGGAAAGCTCAAGGTGCTCAGATCGCCTCAGTAACTGAATCTACAGCTAAAATGGACATAACAGACACAAAAATGAATGCAAAACAGTCATTGAATGTGAACAAAAGTGCCTCAGAAGAATCAAGGAGAGCTCAAGGTGCTCAGATCGCCTCAGTAACTGAATCTACAACTAAAATGGACATAACAGACACAAAAATGAATGCAAAACAGTCATTGAATGTGAACAAAAGTGCCTCTGAAGAATCAAGGAGAGCTCAAGGTACTCAGATCGCCTCAGTAACTGAATCTACAGCTAAAATGGACATAACAGACACAAAAATGAATGCAAAACAGTCATTGAATGTGAACAAAAGTGCCTCTGAAGAATCAAGGAAAGCTCAAGGTGCTCAGATCGCCTCAGTAACTGAATCTAGAAACAAAATGGACATAACAGACACAAAAATGAATGCAAAACAGTCATTGAATGTGAACAAAAGTGCCTCAGAAGAATCAAGGAGAGCTCAAGGTGCTCAGATTGTCCCAGTGACTGAATCTAGAAACAAAATGGACATAACAGACACAAAAATGAATGTAAAACAGTCATTGAATGTGAACAAAAGTGCCTCAGAAGAATCAATGAGAGCTCAAGGTACTCAGATCGCCTCAGTGACTGAATCTAGAAACAAAATGGACATAACAGACACAAAAATGAATGCAAAACAGTCATTGAATGTGAACAAAAGTGCCTCAGAAGAATCAAGGAGAGCTCAAGGTGCTCAGATTGTCCCAGTGACTGAATCTAGAAACAAAATGGACATAACAGACACAAAAATGAATGTAAAACAGTCATTGAATGTGAACAAAAGTGCCTCAGAAGAATCAATGAGAGCTCAAGGTGCTCAGATCGCCTCAGTAACTGAATCTAGAAACAAAATGGACATAAAAGACACAAAAATGAATGCAAAACAGTCATTGAATGTGAACAAAAGTCCCTCAAAAGAATCAAAGAGAGCTCAAGACTCTCAGATCACCTCAGAGACTGAATCTAGAAATAAAATGGACATAACATACAGAAAGAGTGAAAAACTGTCAGAGAATGCACAGGAAAGTCCCTCAGAATCACAGAGAGGTCAAAAGCCCATTGGAACCCAGAAACGACCAGCATTGAAGGTTTCCATGATAACCCAGACAAGCAAGGTAGTCGAAATCACGAAGCAAACAGAATCATCTGAGAAAGGGACATCAAACCTCAAACTTTTTGATGACCACGAGAATAGAAACCCAGTAAGTACATGTGTGAGGATCTTGCCTCATTCTTGTGGCGGGAATGACGTCGATGTGGACACAGGGGAGAGGAATGTAGCATGCACCCTTAGGGGCTTGGTGAGTGTTTCCTCATGCTCTAGCCGTGACTTCATGCGAGTGTAATGTTTCCAGTGGTAGTGAGACGAGTTACCCCCGTCAGCCACAATCATAAACTATAAATAGTACCACAAGCATGACTTTGATGATGTGACAAGACCCGTCTTAAATGACACACAAGTAGGGTCACAGACAATGATAATATTCTTATTACGCACATTGTGGCTCCAGGGTACACAGTAGTATATAGATCCTGAGGTCCATGAGATGTGTTTGCTGTCCCAAATCACCTGTTGCTATGCCGTTTTAAAAGTACTGTAGATACAAAATACAACTTTACTGTGTAAGCCGTAAGTGCTGTGGACAGACCAGCTGCTCTCCTTAATCCCACATTCCCCTCTGATCTCATAAAGCCTTAAAATACTCTCTAAATATGGCCAGTGCAACAGCTTCCCCAAGGCAATAGATACTAAATACGAAGCAAAGATAGACCATAGTCAACTGAAAACAGGTGGCTTCTCATTCTAACTTGTAATCATATAATTAGGGCATTCACATTATCTAACATTGGGGTATTTCAAATGAAATAATGTTGAATCCGCTTATTTTCTCTGGTTCTTCCTCTTGTTTTTTTTCTCTTATCCCAGCTAAATGAGAGATAATCAAGTGCTAATATTACAGAGGTTCAGCTAATATAATGCCCTGTTGATTTTAGATTAAGGACTCAAGTGTTAAGCGGCAGAATCTCCCTGCAGATTTACAGTAGTCAGGGATCTGACATTAATGCAGTGCAACAGAACCAGTATATCTGGGGCCAGTTGCATAAATCGAGCCACTAGGATCTTGAGAACTAGTCTGACAAACTAGCACCATCCAACATCTGATTAAAATTAGACAGATCAATCTTTTTATGCAACAGACTTAAAAAGGTTAGAACCAATCTTTAAGAAAATCATTAGATGACTAAAATTCAAAAGTAGTGTTTGCAACTGGCCACTGGTTTATTTCTGTAGTATTTCCATGAAATAATTGTTTTTAAATATTAATTGTAAAATATGTCCATGAGAATATATAGTATGGTAAATATTAAAGGGATAATAATTTACCCCAATGATTTACCCCAAAAAGAAAATTGTCCTCTTTAGCTGACTCATGTCATTCCAATCCTGTAGGATTTTTTTTTTGTCTGTGGAACATACTTACAGTGAGTAAGATTTTAATTTGAAAAAAAAATCAATAATTTTATTCCACAGGTTTGCATTAAATTGACCAAAAGTGACAGTAAAGATATTTGCACTGTAACAATATTTCTATGTCAAATACATTTCTATTAATCAAGCAAAAAAATAAATAAATAAATAAATAAATGTTGCACTATTTCCAAAAAATAACAACAGCACAACTGAAATGTTTCTTGAGCACCAAATCAGCATATTGAATGATTTCTAAAGGATCATGTGACATGACATGAGAAATGATGCTGAATTTCAGCTTTGCCATTACAGGGGTAAATTAAATTTGGAAATATATTTAAAGTTCTTTTAAACTAAAATATTTCACAATATTACTGTATTTATCAAATAAATGCTGCCTTTTTGAGCATAAGAGACGTAAGACCTAAAACATGTAAAAATCTTACAGACTAAACTTTTAGTGTAGTGTCCAATAAAAAGTCGTTAGTGGGGTCCAATGTTGCTTTAACAAATCAGCAGAACCATCCAGTCGCAGCATTTATTAGAATTGTAAAGTCAGGCAAGGTCAAACAAAACCGAAAAGACAAGGCTGTGACAAACTACGTAGACAGGCAAAGGATCGAGGCCAGTAAACAGTCCAGTGTCAGGGCAAGCAGAGAAGGGTCAGCAACAATAAACAATTCAAAGGTCAAACACAGGACTCAAACTCGGGAAAATAACGCTCTGCACTGATATCCCGGAAAGTCAAGACTTTGCACTGGTGTGGTGCATGAAATTGGTTTATATGTGGTTTAGAGGTGTATGGTGTTTGGAATAATCAGTTCAGGGAGGTGCATGATGGGACATGTAGTGCAAGTTAACCCCGGAAGCGCATGGCTAATCGTGACAGCTGCTTTGGACCCCATTGACTTTATTGCATTGAAAAGAAATAGTTGAAACATTCTTCAAAATATATTATTTTGTGTTCCAAAAAAGAAAGAAAAGTTACACGGGTAAGAAACAACATAAAGATGGGTAGGCTAAATCAGTGGTTCTCAAACCTGTCCTTGAGACCCCTCACCACTGCACATTTTGTATGTCTCCCTCATCAGACACACCAAATTCAAGTCTTGCAGTCTGTACTAATAACCTGATAAACTGAATCTGGTCTGTTAGGTGAGGGAGACATGCAAAATGTGCAGTAGTGAGGGGTCCCTAGGACAGGTTTGAGAACCACTGGGCTAAATTATGATTTTTGGTCGAACTATCCCTCTAAGGCTTCTGAAGATAAATAAATATAATTCTATGATTTCAGGCTGCAGGCGATACTCAGACGGAGCCCAAAGAGTCACCGATTCTTGAAGATATTCCTCCTTTTCATAAGGAAGTAGCCAAGAAGTTAAAGGAGCAACCCCCATTGATGCGTGAGGTCACTGCGAGTGTTACGGACACACTCAGTTCCTGCCAACTTGCATCACAGGGACAGAAGTTAAGAGCAGGTGACCAGTCTGCGGCATCAACAAAGAGCAGTTCACTTGTCACTGGGCCTCAAAACAAGCCAAGTGAGAAAATCTCCTCAGGTCATGTTTCACACATGCTCCATGATGGCCAAGTTACAAAAGCTATGAGTTCCTCATTAGGAGATGACACATTAACCAGCGTGTGTGAGAAGGATAGTGAAGCTGGAAGCCAACTCATCAAAGAGTCTGACAAACCTAAGGGTGAAACAAAACCTGCATCCATGTCTTTCGATAGTATGGAAAAAACTGAGATGACAAACATAAATACAAGTACAAATGTGCAAGTACAGAACAGCATTTCAAAAGAAAAATCAACGGCAAACTCAAACCATTCCACAAATCAAGTCATTGTCACAGAGTTTGTTCAAATTTGCAAGTTAAACTCGAATGTGGTGCAACCACAGACCATGAATAGCTCCTCTATTACTAAAGTTGAAATGAAAGATACTAAAGCCAGAGAGTGTCAGAGCTCTTCTCTAGGAGCTATAAACAATGTTTCTAAAATGGACACACAGGAACAATCTAAAGATACCACATTTGAAGTACCAGTATCAACTCATAACAAGATGCAAAGTTACTCTGATAAAAAGCGCATTGATCGTTCTGGCCCCTCTACATTCCTCTCCCAACATTCAAAAGCGTTACCCACCGAATTTACCATTCCTGCAATATATATTACAGATGTGGACGGCACATCTCAAAATAGCACAGACAAAACAGAACACATTGTGTGCAAGAGTGCTATTATTAAATCAGATACTGTTAAAATCACAACTGAAGCAAATGCAGTGACATATAGCAACACTGACAGTCAAACAAGTATACATTCTGATTGCACAGACACCACAAACAAAACCACAGCCGTTTTGGAATTTAAAGGTCTGCATGATGAGAAGTGTGATCTTTCCCTGCGTTCACAAACTCCTGAAGTCAACAAGCCTGATCAACAGCCACTAAGTCAAGAAAGCCTGATTCAAGGACCTGAATCCTCGAGTCATTTTTCCACTGAGAAGGTTTCAACAGATTTTATTAGACTATCAGAGGTTCCTAAGCAACATCCCAATGCTGACAAAAGCATAAAGTCTGAATTAACTGAAACCACTTGTCATCCAAAAACAGATCTTAATCTGAAAACTGATTCTGACTCCTTCATTAAACAATTGAAATCAGCTGCATTGGACCTTGAGATGTCAGATCAACGTTCCACCAGCACCATGATCAATGCTGCAACACATATAAACTCTAGAGACAAAGATAAATTAGAGGAGGAAGTAAATTCTGCAGTGATACAGCATGATGTCTGTAAGGTAACAATCCCACTGAAGAAAACAGACCATCAGGACAACTCTACTGCTGCCCAAAGTGAACTTGCCACCAGGACGAATCAAAAGACTACATTACCTAGCCCTACAGCAGAGATGAGTGAAATAGGAATGACCATATGTCTTGAAGAAGGAACTAGAGATGCATATCAGAAGGACAGTTTATCTTTGAAAACACAACCTGAATCTCCGTTACAATCGGTCAGTAACTCACAGTTGAAGACATCATTAGAAACGCACTCCCCTCGTCTCACCCGGAAGATTGTCCCGGCTGACCTTGACAAGCCTGCAGAAAATGAGAACGTTAAGCCCAAATCAACAGAGAAAGTCAAAGAAACCCAGTTCAAAGGTAAAGATATCAAGTAATGGACACTGAACACACAATTACCACAGTTATTTTCAATTAATAGTGTAGACAAGTGGTTCACAGCGGACGGAAAACCTGAATTCTAGCAACTATCATAATGCTTGTAATGTGATGGTGTGTTTGACCATAAAACATGTGTCATCAAGTATAGTAGCTTTTGCTACATTTATATTCAGACATCTGGGCAAACTGCAATGCTACATTGCATTTTAGGCATTCCCTGGGAATTAAACTCATGGCCTTTGTGTTGCTAATGGCTGTTGCTCACTTTGCATTTGGATGCTGTTTATCTCACCATTTTTCTGCTATATTTCCTGTCCTCCCTCTCCTTCCTCGCAGTTCCACAGATTATCCGTAAAATACGACCAGAAGTGTTTGATGCCTCTGGACATCTGAAACTCTGGTGTCAGTTTTTCAATATAGTAAGTGACTCGACAATAAGGTGGTACAAGGATGAGGTGGAGATTGCAGAGATAAAGAGAAGGTAAGCACTCCTAGAGTTTTAGTGACCCCTAGTGTTACCCAGTGCTTTAAACCCTAATGCTATCATCAATCCTATATCAATTATTTATACCAGTATTATTATTTTATTATAGGCTTAGTGTACCAATGTACTCTGCTCCCTGCTGGTATATACATGTAGTTTTGTTTTCTGTTTTAGTGCAGGAGATGAGACTCAGGTGTGCTTGGCTATTCTACGGATGTCCAAAAGAGACTGTGGTGTTTACAAATGCACAATTACCAATGACTATGGTAAAGATTCCACAGAGTATCTTCTCAGTGCAGAGTGTAAGTAGTATCTATGTTCTTAAAGGGATAGTTCACTTTGAAATTAATTTTTGATATGTTTTAGCTTACCTCAAGGGCATCCAAGATGTAGGTGTCTTTGTTTCCACAGCATTTTCAATTTTGACATTTTTCAGTCAAACTGGTGTTGTCTGTCAGTCATATAATGCAGTTTTAGGGGGTCCACCTCAAAGAGCATGCACAGAGAAGTCCAAATTAAACATGATTTAATGACTCGTGAATGTAAGTACACATTGATGGCCTAAGACACGAAACGAGCGGTTTGTGTGAGAAAACAAACAGTATTTATACAGTTTTTACCTCTTGTTAATAGCCATCGAACTGATCTGAATCAGATGTTCAACTGAACCGAACTGAAGTGTCTCCAGAGTCCAGACGTTACGCCGGAAGTGATCTCTCACGTGTCTACGTCACGCATTGTTTACACGGAGATTTCGGAAGTTTTACGATATATCTAAATATGTTTAGTAAAAGGTAAAACTTCCGAAATCTCTGTGTAAACAATGCGTGACGTAGACGCGCGAGAGATCACTTCCGGCGTAACGTCTGGAGACGGTTCAGTTCGGTTCAGTTGGACATCTGATTCAGATCAGTTCGACGGCTGTTAACAAGAGGTAAAAAAACTATAAACGCTGTTCGTTTTCTCACACAAACCGCTCGTTTCGTGTCTTAGGCCATCAATGTGTACTTACATTCACGAGTCATTAAATCATGTTTAATTTGGACTTCTCTGTGCATGCTCTTTGAGGTGGACCCCCTAAAACTGCATTATATGACTGATAGACAACACCAGTTTGACTGAAAAATATCAAAATTGAAAATGCTGTGGAAACAAAGACACCTACATCTTGGATGCCCTTGAGGTAAGCTAAAACATATCAAAAATTAATTTCAAAGTGAACAATCCCCCTTTCTAATGTGTTGTTTTGTGTAAATTGTCCATGTTCAAATTCCCACGCATTTTTTTAGACAATTTATTCTAATTTTGAATGTTTCCTGTTGTCTGTTACATCTGTTGACAGTTCTTTCCAATATGTTTCTGCGTGAGGAGCTCAAGGAAGGTAGAAAAATAGCAGCTTTATAGCCTAGTGCTTTCAGTCTTTTGCTGACCCCTCAGTATACATATACAACTATCTGTCCCTTTTACCATCTCTTTCTCTCTCTCTTTCATAGTTGGGGAGGAGATTGAGATGACTCCTCTGATCTTTAGTAAAGGTCTTGCTGATGCAGGTTGCTGGGGCTCAAAGTTCTATGGCCGTGTCACAACAGAAGAAGCTCAAGTCGGAATTGGATGTGAGCACAAAACCAGACGGCTGAAAGTGATCTATGGGTTAGATCCTGTGTTTGAGTCGGGCAGCTCATGTTTTCTAAAAGTGCGGAGCCCTATTGCATATGAGAGCAGAGAGGAGACTGTTCTGGCTGAAAGGAATCTCCAAATCACAAAACAGGTGACAGATCTTTTTGACAAATTCAGGTAAAATTGTAACATTTCTCAACGATAAGTTGTAACACTTTTATCCCCTATAATATTCAGAATTTCTTCCATAAGTTTTTATAACTATAAATGACTAAAAATTTCTAATTTATAGGAATGTAGAATTCAGAACATGGCCAGAGAGTACTTTAAGATCTTTGCTGCAGAGACGAGAGTGATAGAGAGCTTTGGTGCAGCGCTGGAGTAAGTGAGGTTTTTTTCTCTTTTCCAAGATCTGCTCAAAATATGTGATTTTATTGTGTAGATTTATTATAGAATATCAAAGCCAAAGCCAAATTTCATCCTAGCTGATCCCACATGTGTTGTCACTGTGACTATGTATCTTTTTCAGGGTAATCCCTCTATACTTCATGTACTGTCCAGCAAGCAGTGTTCCTTATGCAACAGTGGAGGCAGAGCTTAAGGGAGTCTATAAGCGGTATTGTGGATTGGATCGTACCGGGTCACTGGTATTAAATGAGAAGTTAGAGGTGGGGCAAAAATGTTCTTCTCTCCAGCACTGGATCCACCAGTGGACCAATGGAAATGTGCTGTTCTCAAGACTTGAGGGTAAGTTAGAGAAAATATATCCAAAAACGAACGATTCTTCATGTCTTCGCCCTGGTTTTAGTTCAAATGCTGACTTTGATACTATTGTTTTTTTGCAGGAGTTGATACAATACTGACAAATGTCGGAATAGCAATCAGGTCAAAGGGGTGGGTACTTGAAAGAACAGTTCATTCAGGTTTTCTGATGATAACATTTTTTTTTAAAGAAGTTAATATTCTATTCAGCAAGGATGCATTACGTTAATCAAAGTAAGAGCAAAGACTTTTATATTGTAAAAAAACCCTACAGTACAGTATATTTCACATGAATGCTGCTTTTTTTTAAAATTTTTCTTCATCAAAGAATCATGAAAAATGTAGATGTTTCAACATAAATATTAAGCAGCATATTATAAACTGATAATAAGACATGTTTCTTGAGCACCAAATCAGCATGTAATTATGATTTCTGAAGGATCATGTGACTAATGATGCTGAAAATTCAACTTTCACATCACAGTAATAAATTACACTTTAAAATATATTAAATTAGAAAACAGTTATTTTAAATTGTAATTTTTACCAATATTATTGTGTTTACTGTATTTTTATCAAATAAATGCAGCCTTGGACTAAGAAAGCTCAAACTTTTGCATGGTAGTGTGCCATTTAATTGGTTTAAACATTATAGATTCATTTACAGTGTTATAATATTGTGTAATTTCTTGATGCATTCTTGTTTTTATTTTTTCTGATGTAGGTATCAGGGGTTTCCCTGTGAAGCTAATCCGAAGATTTTTGAGTTGTTTCACATTCAGCATCAGTGTAATTACTTCTGTGGTCTCTTAAACCTCAAACCTCTCAAAGCCCCAGAAACTCTCCAGGCTCTATCCAGATCCCAAGGCTCAAGCAGCCCACTACTACAACGAAGACCAGCTCTCAGCTCCTCCAGTCCCCAAACCTCACGCAAGGCAACAAAGAGCCCCAAAGTATCCCGCAAGCTGAACCCTCAGACCTAAGGTGTTTAAAAAGGCCAAAGGTAAAATGAAAGGAAAAAATGAGACAAATAAATCAACAAATAATGTCTGTTATTGATAGGAAAGGTCACTTACTGATCTGCAGATATTATGCAACTGCAGAATGCAAGTGAAAAACATTCTTTTGATAAATGCAACATTTTAAATGAAATATGTAAATCCAGAAACACACCATAATCTTCTGTTGCAGTGGTCCTTTCAGAATCAGTTGTATAATCCTTAGAGGTTTTTTTGAAATGGCGCTGTATATGTGTGTGAAAATGTCAAGAGGAGCTGTGGCACTTCAACATTTTGTTACTTCTTTGTTTATTTCTAAACAAGTGCTGTTGGCTCTCTTGATGCTTGTAAATAATAATTAGAAATATAATAATTTAGTTACAAATGACCTTTTATTTATGAGATGAGAGAGCATATTATTTCCATTTGGTTGTGTGATGCGTGATGCATCCAATGTGATGCGTAACCTGAAAAAGATAAATATTTTTCCAATTATAATCTTTAACTTTTAGAATGTTGTCCATTAAAATGCTATGGCACTTTATAATACAACCTCTCAAATCTTTTGTGATCCACATAAGAAATTAACTTTTTGCACAACAAGAAGGGGAGCAGCATTTATAAGACATTGAGTGCCATTTTGTTAAGCAGTTTTGAGGTGGGGCTTTTCAGTCTTTTCACCAATTTTCTAAACTTCTGTCGTTTTCTTTCTCCAGTTTCAATGCATTCACTAATTTACCAAAGTCATCTTGAACGTTGAATTGTCATTACAACTGAAAAATTTCATGTTTCAAGAGCATCACATGATATGACTTCAGTTCATAAATTGATTGATTTCCCTAAAATGGTTTTGTGTGAACTCACCATTATAGAGATTAGCGTTCACTTTTGTTGGGCATTTTGGAACGAGAAATCACAGTTATAGGTTTCAAAGGAAGGGAAAGAATAAATAGGTTACTTGTAAAAGGTGACCTAACTTCTAATTAAATAATCGTCTATCGTTCATGTCGAATAATGATCTTTTACTGCACTTTTGTCATAAATACCTTGTGAGACTTTTAATTGGTTTGATGTAATCCCTCTATGTTTGTGGCAATATCTTGCAATTGACCATGCTTGAGTCACACACAGACTTCAATACTCAGCATGCAATACACAGTTCAGCAAACACTCTAGAGTTATATTTCAATTACTAGAACTCTACTATTATTATTCCTATTTCACTTTGCTTCATTTTTTAAGGCAGTCTGGGTTTTTTAAGTAAGTCTAATTTATTCGATTTTATAGAAGATGCTGGTGATCAATCTGTAAATTTGCATTTGGCTTAAGTGTAAGGGAACGAAATCATTCCAAAGAGTACAAGTATGTTACATCTCATATGTATGAACATATGATGATTTTGACTTTGTCTCAGAATGGAATAGACAATTATATAATCACATTTCACCTTGAGACAAGCTTGCATGGACTTTTCATATGCATTATGTATCAGTTTTAACAATAAATGTACTATAGCTCATGACTACCATTTCACATCTGGCACCAGAACCTGATTTGAATGACTTTGATACATTATTGTCATGTTTGCCTTTGTTTTAGTAATATTCATCGAATAAGTAGTATATAGTATATATATATATATTGTGGACTGTTATATCCAAAATGAAGGAAATTTAACCAAACCAAGTGTCTATTGGTCTGTGTGGGCAAACTACAGAAAAACGGTTAATACTGACACGTATGCGAAAACATTATGAATACAAAATGAAACATTCCAAAACCTAGACAGGATCTGAGAAGAATGTGCAGAGTAATGAATACATTAACATAGTCTCTCATATTCAGCAGAGGATTGGTGATAAGGCATTGCTATATACTTTGATTGTGATAAATTAGTCGAATGAACGAATATATATTCTAGCCTGAGGTTTTGCAAATGCCTACTATGAGGAAGCCTAATTATAGTCCCTAGCATGTACTTATGCGTAATTGTCTGCTCACGTCATGATTAAGTAATAAGCTACAAAGTGGAGGCTTAGACTGGAATCCAGACTGAGTATGAACAGGCAAACTCATTAATTAAAAACAAATGCAGAGAGAGAAGGATGAGCGGAAAGGATTCCTGTTCTGTTTGTGCTTTTAAAAGATTATCCGCAAAATACACCCTATACCTTATAATATTATTAAAAGGTCAGGTTGAAATATTCAAAGAAAACCCATATGGCAGTCTATTGTCATCTTTTTTTATGGTGATAATCATGACACGTGGGATGTAATTTTTGCACTAAATAGGGAATTGTATTAGAAGCACACGAAGCTTTTGAAATGTCACAATAGCGCTGGCATTTTAACAAGTTTTATCTCTTATCCACTAAAAGTTGGAGGCAGCAAGTGTGTCTATGGCGTCACTGTGGTAACTGTCACTGGTGGAATAATCTGGCACTGCAGACCGTGTGTGAACTGTGTGTTGCTCTGACATTCAGATAACAATCTCACAGCCTTCGCGCTGTGCATCTTAACAAGAGAAAAGGCTAAACATTTTTGAAAGAAATCATGACTGGCTAATTATATGATAATGCTTTTTGAAAGACACAATAGTCCTTTGGTCACTGATTAATCATTTCCGCGATTGACCATTATGCAGGACTCATGTACTTCGTCAAACTGGATATTCATTTATGTCAACTGGCAATACAAAACACAAATAATTTGATGCTTCACGCAGACAACTAGACACAACTCGATATTCGAGAAACTGACATCAGAGCAGTTAATTAGGCTTATTATTTTTAGGCTATTGTGGCAGTGTTCCAATTGGCAGTGTTGCTAGCCCATCAGTTTTATATATTGTTATGGACTATTTTTCGTAGATAATGTAAAGGTAAAATCATAATTTCAATTTACAATGTGCAAAAAGTTCAATATTTCATGTAGCCGCATGTAATAAGCAGGATAATGTTCAGTCAGGAGGTCATTATCGCGTAAAATAAACCCAGTGTTTATTCAGGGTGAGTAGCCTATTCAATGTTTATTTTACAATGAAGACCTGGTGGCTGTACCACTTACATAATCAATATACAATCAATACAACCAACACAGACTTCTCAAATCAGCCTTCCTTGTTATATTTCTACCATCTGTGGTAAACACATATGGATCAGTACATCACACATCAGTACATCCACATACAGGAAAACTAATTTTTTCAAGAAATGCATATTTGAACTCATGGATGTTGAAAATAATAAATAATAAGTTAATAAATAAATAAGGGTTATTCACCTTTTGATTCTGTTTCTGTTGTGTATAATTTTGCATATAAAAATGATTTGAGAAAACTCGTAAAACTGGTTCTCGTAAATATTTTCCGTTTGAGCTATAAAACATGGGGTTTGAGTAGCTATAATATGCTTCACTGCCATTAATAACCAATCGCAATATCCCATCAACTGGCATTCAAGAAATGACATGATCAAGGAATGACTCAGTCAAAGTTGTTCTTCTGTCAGGCTGAATGTGAGTCATAATGCCCAGCACAGGTGTGGGTTGTCAAAGGGTTTAATGGAGTGGCAAGTGATTCAAACTTGCCACACAAAGGTGCAACAGAGGTGTGCATTCTCCAGAGTGAGTTGGAAACTATAAGACTCATCTGGGTGTAGGTAATAGATCCAGCTGCATATCCTACAGTCAGATGTATATAAACAATACCACTACTGACATGCTTCACCAAATCTTCACATTGGAAAAAGAAACAAAGTTCTGCTTGCATGAGGCTGACCACCTCAGTCATAAAAAGTTTCTGATTCAGTTGGAAGAAACAGCATGTCGTCATCTTTCTTTAAAGACTGTCTGATTCAGACGGGAGTATAACAATTATATTGTGGACTCAAAAGTTATATTCTTTTTTATTGTTTTTCTAAAAAGCCGATCCTCTTTTTTTGACAATGTGTCATTACGACTGCTAGGTTACCAATATATTGTGTGAATCTCTTAGCATAACATATGGAGTGGCACATTGTTGTGATAAGATTAGCTGGCCTCTCAGATGTATTCATACTGCCATGGGAACCAGCCAAGCAAAGTGGCAATGTTTGTCCAATGTCCATTGATGTGTTTCTGAGTAAACTTACAATATGCAGTGCTCTTTTTTGTTAAGTTGATGTTGTTGTGAAAATGAAACTGCTGACAGTATCTCTGCAAATACAATAAAGTAACTAATATTTTTTGTAATCTCAAGTAAACAATGACAGATGCTAAGAAATTGACCGGGACCTGTTGTTCCAGAGATTACTCTCACACTACACACCAAGACTAATTACCTACTCATAAATTACTGTGTCATTCTCACCTATTTGGTTGAGCTTGATCACCATAATAATGTGCTTCATAGTATAACATCCCTCCAGGAAATTAGAACAGCATTTCATGATAATAAAGAGAAACATTTTGAGTATGGAAATATTTACTCAGCACTGTCAGTGTTAGCCCAGACTGATAAAGATGGAAATACTGTGATTAATTAGTGTGTTTGAACTGTCCTCATTCAAAAATACAAGCACAAGAAAAGCATTAAAATAAGAAACATACTCGGTTTCTAGAAAGAACTGAGGTTGCATTAGAAACCGTGTACGTTGTCTTATGAAAGGTTGGTTGTAGTATTCTGAGGCGAAGCAACCGGACAGACAGACGATACTTTTTCGACCGAAAGTAGTTTAGCCTGTAAGGCGGATCTCTAGGTTATAAAACCTTAGAAATACGGGGTGGCCCAGCCTGCCGCCATACAGATATCCTGCAAGACAATCCCGCTAGACCTAGCCCACGATGAGGCCATGCCTCTTGCGGAGTGCGCTCTAACACCTAAAGGACATTCAAGCCTTTAGACGTGTATGACAGCGCTATGGCATCAACTATCCACCTGGATAGGCTCTGATAGCACATCCCCTGAACGAAATAAAGAGCTGCTCAGTCTGTCAAAAAACAGAGACAAGCGAGACACATAAGCTCTTAATGCCCGTACTGGGCAAAGGAAGCTCGTGTCCTTTTCCTCGTTGTAAACGGGCAGGGCAGACAGGGAAATAACCTGGGCCCTGAACGTTGTGTTGAGGGATTTAGGCACGCATCCGTGTCTTGGTTTGAGTACGACTTTCGAGTAATTTGGCCCAAATTCCAAACACGTCATGCTAACTGAGAGCGCTTGTAAATTCTTCACTGAAGCAAGAGCCATATGAAACATTTTCTTGAACAACAGTTGTTTCATGTCTGACAAATGGATTGGCTCGAACGGGGCACCTTTCATGGCCTCCAAAACCGTGGAAAGGTCCCACATGGGGACTGAGGGGGGTCTGGGAGGATTCAGCCTCTTAGCTCCCTTAAGGAAGCAGATGACCAGATTATTTTTCCTCACTGTCTGGCCAGTTATGGGTTTTGTAAACGCTGCTATGACAACCACATAAACGGTGAGGGGTGAGCATCTAGTGGGCAGCGGGGCCAGACGTGGGACAGCTCATCCCTGCTCTTGGGGAAAAACTTCAGACAGTGAGCGTTTTCTTGGGACGCGAACAGGTCTACCTGCGGTCTGCAGCATGTCTACAGATGTAGGACCGTCTGCGAGTACAGAGACCATTCTCCTGCTGGAACATTGTTTCTGGACAGTCTGTCTGGTCCCAAATTCAGGTGACCAGGCATATGTGCTGCTCTCAAGGAGCGCAGATTGTGCTGAGGCGTTCTGTCAGCCTGTAAAGATTTCGGAACCTGATGCGACCCTGACGATTTATGTAGGCCACCACTGACATGTTGTCCGAGCAGACCAGGACCTTTGACCTTTTATTCAGGTACAAAAAGACCTCAGTGCGTTGTCCACTGCCATTATTTCTAGACAGTTTATGTGTAGGAGCTTCTCCCGTTCTGCCCACTGGCCAAAAAATGGTGTGCCCTCGAGCAGGGCTCTCCATCCCGATGTGGAGGCATCCGTGGACACCACTCTCACACTCAAGGAAGTCCCCAGGTTTACACCAGACTGGTACCAGTCGATTGCTCTCCAAGGTTTAAGAGCTGTGAACTATTTCTGATCGAACTTGAGGCAAAACAGACTGGAGGCCCATGCCCGAGGTGGTACTCGTGCTTTTAGCCAAAACTGCAGTGGGCGCATGTGAAGCAGACCCAACTGGAGTACTGATGATGCTGAGGCCATGAGACCCAGCAGAAGGATTTTGCGCTTTACATTAATTCAAAATTAAGAGTAAATTTTGGCTTAAAAATCTCATGGAAAAGAGCTTTTCCCCAGTGTAAGATATTACGCAGTTCGAGAGAACCTACTGAGAATGATGTGATAAAAATATCTTTAAAAGGTTGAGTTATCAATCACATTAAAATTTTCTGAGATAAGTGTACTGTGTGATGTGTCTTTTTAATTTGTAGATCAGAACCATTCACATCATCAGTCTTACGTTTCAATCAATAAATTATTTATGGAAATTTTATGATAAACTCCATATATTCAGAAACTTAAATCATCATTAAAATTGACATTTAATGGCCAAGCATCTATAAATTATTTCTTACCTCTGAAAATGATTTGATCTGTCTCTGCTGCTTCAATTTAT